GCAAACCTTGGAAAGAGAAACTAAAAAAGTAAAATGTTTCGTGAAAAAACAAGATATATTGGCTCTATTTTTCTGCAAAGTATTTGTTATATATCGGATGCTTCAATTGAGGCAGCATAAAATTGAAATAAGCAGGGTGATGTGTGCCAAGAATGTCATCCTTTCATCTTTCATCTCTGTAAAATTATTGCATATTTCTATAACAAAAATATTTTGATTGAGATGTTAAAATATAAATTGTCCTATTGTTGGAGTACAAAAATGTATATAAGTATATAATTTTTCACAATTGTTAAAACTAATGTATTGGACCTTACTGTATATTTATATATCTTAATATAGGAAGACGGACAAAACCCCACACGTCAAAACCCCACACTTCAAAATTTAATAGAGTGGACAAAACCCCGCTTCTAAATTCTATAGAGAGGACAAAACCCCACACCTTCAATTTTGTAGAGTGGACATAACCCCACACTTTTTGATTACTGATATGTATAGACCTTTGACTGACAATAAAATAAGTGACATTGTTGACATTTTGAATGCTAAATTTGAATAATAAATGTTAATTAAGATTAACGAATATTTACCCTTTCATTTTTATATATCATTTTGTTATATTTGAATGCTTACCCTTTGTTTTTTATTCAATATATATTCAATATTTGTATAGTCTTTTATCGTTTAATCATATTGTATTGTATATTGAAATACAATATAACATACCATTCATTATCATGATCAAAGGAACTATGTAAAATGATTAAAGTAATTATGTCAAACTTTAGTAAAAATTCTGTTTTGTTCTTTTCTAACAAGACCAAAATCATATGAATTGTATGGTTTTATAAGAAATAATTAGAAGGTGTGGGGCTATGTCCACTTTATAAAATTGAAGGTGTTGGGTTTTGTCCACTCTATAAAATTCAGGTGTGGGGTTTTGTCCGCTCTATTAAATTTTGAGGTGTGGGGTTTTGACGTGTGGGGTTTTGTCCTACATTCTTAATATATGTATATATTTATATTACTGTGAATTAACTATTCATATTTGGTTTCTATACGTGTTCTATGTCCTTGCTCCACACTTAGGAAGTATATTTTGATATATATTTAATTACATTAAAAATTGAGTATGAATAAATCTGGTCTTGAGACTGTTTAGCGTATATACGAAAAAGACATTTGAAACAATTTAAGTTGAAAAGTGTTTTTTCAGTAATATTATTAAAATGATATCATTAAAATGTGAATGTTTTAAATAATCGAGCCTGAAACATTTTCTTTTTGCAATTTCGGCGTGTTGGGTGTTCATATCGGTCACCGGCAGATGCTGTAGCATAGCATTATCAAAGCGTTGATATTAATCAGATTGAGTATTTTACACTTACTCCAAATCTGTAAATTCCATACTGATTTCAAATAGCATGGACAGCCTTTAAACGATTCTATTCTATTTTAGAAATATATACTTAGTGTTATATTGTATAATGCTATAACTAGCGAACTATTCCAAATAAATATCTTAGCACTCAAAGTTTTTTCATATAATTCTAATTATCATATCATATAATTGTATCAGTTTTTTTGCCATAACCTTTTGATCTATTTTTTTCATTGAAGTCTTTTTAGAAAGTATGACAATTATATTACACTGACTGACAATGACTGACTCGCTATGGAAAAGCTAACTAATTTATTGAAAATACAATAGTATGTGAAATAATACGTTCAACGTGTATGCCAGCTATTTGTCTTATATCCCAAACTTAAATTGAGCAAGCTACAGATTGACGTATGTAGAATGGTTTGTGCCAACACTGCCATTCGTTTGATATTTTCTTCTATGAAAAAATGTAAGTTGTTTTTGCAGTAACAAAATTGTTTTTCTCACTGGAAAAAATATTGTCGTTTAAGCATTACATTTCTTAAATGTTTACATTGCAAACAATAGCTTACAAGTTATGCATTTCAAAAAGAAATATAAAATCATGGGAAAGTATTTATTTCTTCAGATATTTCATCGAAAGATTGCTCAATTTACAAAGTATCTAGAACTATTTCTAGAAAAGAATGAGTATAAATATTTGTTTTTTTCCATTCTTCTTCAATTTTAAGGTAGGGATTTTAAAATTATAATAATAGTAAAATACTTATGATTTATTTGTCAAAGAACTCAAATGCTTAATTTACAGAAACACAAAGGACTAAAAGGCCCATTATAACTCAGAATTTTTTTTCAAAAGCGTTTAATTTTTGTTGTTCTTTAATAGTTTTCAAAAAGTTACTCATAAAATATGATTAACAAGATCAAAAAGGAAAAGCGGCGTTCAATGAATAAGCCAATTATCTGTCTCATGTTTTTCTTCTGTTGAGTTTTGACAATAGGTAAGTTATAATAATTAAGTAGTGATTTAGTGTTTTGTATGAAAATCGAAATACTACTTGTTTACATTTTGCTACGTTTATAACAAATAATTTCACATTAAGTGCAACTTTCATCAAGTGATAAGCATCTAAAACCAACTAAAAATTATTTAAACAACACTATATAAGTTACGAAAACTCATGATTTTTTGCCCATCCCTAAGAAGGAAAAAAACTTTTCGTTTCTGAGGCACAATATGCTTAACTGCCCATTATTACAATGTGTTTCAACTTTAAAGAGGAGGTGACATTAAGCAAAAGTAAAGGATAGATTCTGGCAGGATTGCACAAACGAGGGGGCTAGTATGGTACACTAGTTAAACATAGATTAAAATGCTAAAATGTGTTTCATTTTTTTTACAAATGGTTTTCTCGGAGGGAATATGCATGTTAAAACAGCTCAATAGTATTATCGAGTTAATAATTTTCATTTGAACTTTGTCTTTGCCCAAATTTTTGTAAGCAGTATAGGGTAAGGCCTGCCTGCACATCCGTTCTGTCTGGCCAGGCTCTATAGATTGGCTGATCTAGCATGCTGATCTTGATAATGGAAAGATAAAAAAAACGAAAGCCGCAAAAGCTTTTACGAAATTCTTCAGTTTAACCGATATTTTACTGTATTTATCAGTCTGGAGATTTTGAATATTGAATAATGCATGAATTAAGAAGTCGGCAATGCTGTATGAGTGTTGTCATATCATTGCTTGGTTATTAGGTGCTGACATAGAATGCAGATATTTGTTATTTGTTTATGTAACAAAAAAATGAAACCTTTGAAGAATTTAAGGTTATTACCTTCAGTATTGTGAAAATCAAACAAATTTGCTGCAAATACCAAACACTTAATTCTCAGCTGGATTTCCTTTCATTTTCGTGAGCAAAAATGATATGAATTACAAGTAAACTGCCGAATACTAACATGCTATATATTTGCATAATCAGTTTCAAAGAAGTTGATGTTTTACAATTAAATTACTTGCAGCAGCAGTAGTTATGAATTGGAAAAGATCAGAACAAATGATAAAACTGCAATATCATTTTCCTTCTAAAACGTTTCAAGTATTTAAGTGGAATACGAACGCTGGCATTGCTATTTGAACTCTCTATATAATTTAAAAATGCTTAGAGAAATGATCTAGATCACTGGTTCCACTCGACATGTGATACCTATCACAAACATCACTCAAAAATACAAGGTATAACTCTAGGCTATCTATTTTACATACATTGTTCTTGTATTTATTTGAGTAATAGTAAAAAATATTAGCACAGATTGCATTATGAAAACAAATCTAGGCATGTGTAATATTTCAAATTTCGTTAAACCATTCATATACTAGTTGCTTCCAGTTTAACCAAATTAATTCACTAGATTTATAGACATGACGTTTTCTGTCATATGTGTATATTCATGGGACCGTTTATTTTTTTTAAAAAGAATTTGTGTTTATTTTATTTGTATTTAGCACAAGTCAATATAATAAATTATCGTCTTTTTAAATAAAATAAGTGCAATATTAAAAGCATCTGTTGCAGACTTGACTTAATTGAATCAATAAATTGTCGGTTGCTTCTGATGCTACCTAGCTCCGACATATGCATTTTGCAGCTTTTTAATAGTGACATTATTGGGACAAATAATTTGATTGGTGTTTATATTATTTACTTCAGTAGAATACAACCGAACAGTCAAACGAGTTGTGTAATATTAAACACTTTTGTTAGATAATTGAATATTTATTTTAAATTCAGATGTTTTTTTGCTGTATTAAAACGATTTTTTTTGTAATTAAAAGTTTATTAAGTAAGTTAACCGACTATTTCTATTGTTGTTCATGTATAAACAATTTATCGGACTGTCGGGACGATGGTAGGTATTGTCAACACAAGCAAATGCTAAATTACCCCATGGCTTTGGTAATATGCCAGTTCCAGGGTTAACAAAATTCATAACAGCCATATGTTATAAATATTATACCAAAAAGTTTCTAAATGTTGTAGGCCCTGGGCGATGAACTATTTCGCTGGGAATAGTCTCTTTGAGTGTGATATTGGATCAAAACTCATTATAGGTCTAAGGTAGATTTACATTTACGGATAAGGTAAAATTATAAAATTAACGTAATTAGACCATACACTTTTTTTTTGTCGTATCGCCCGGTTTATTTTATTTTTAAACGTTCAATTCATAAAAACAGTAGGACAGTACTTGTTATAGTGTTAGCCGATTTTATTTTATCCTAAACATTTTCGAATATTAACTGTATGTCAATCACCATTATAACAGTCAATTATTTGAAATATATAGTCAATTATGCTTAACTTGACAATGAAAAAAGAGGATAATGTCACTTTAATAATATACTTTATAAAATATGGTATCCGACACTCGGCAAATGTGGATTTTTCCTAGCTTATCCGTAGGTACAAACACACTTTTACTGTTATAGCTACACGTCACAATAGATAAGTCAACCTGTTGCTCATATATTCTAAGCTGTAACTATAAAAGTTTGTTTGTACTAACGGATAAGCTGGGGAAAAACCCAAAATATTTTTAATTCCTGAGTAAGTCTATATCTGTAATTTACAGTTAGACAGTGGTCATGTCAGTGATGATAAGATTGGTAAAGCTGAGAAAGCTCCTGCTGGAGTTGGTGTGTACCTTCCCCATGTGTTTGGTATCCCGGTTGGACCCGACACAAGTCTTGTTTCAGGTATTTATAAGGGCAGAAGATTCAATATTTTTATACCGGCTCAGGTGTATGCCAAAGATCATTACTTTTATTGTTTTACCTAAAGGAAAAAACACATCATATATCTAGAATAGATGAGTTCGTCAACCAAAAATTGATTTGCTTAAATGTTTATGTTATCATATGCCTAAATTTTTATTTTGCTTGTATGTCTTACATGAAAGCTATATAGCGAACGTCTTTAAAATGTATAGCGTTCCAAACAACACGTGATTCAGGAACGAGGTTGATTGAAAGTATCGTATCGAATATAAACAGATACATGTAATCATGTAATTTATCTGAATTATAAGTAAACCCAACACGAGATATTTTAGAATTTTAATTGTATTTTACCTTATATATGTTTTGTTTGTTAAATGTTATGTGTTTCTAGCTCACGTAACAACACCAACAGGTATTAGGGATGATGTGAAAATAAATCACAACAGAATGGGTCACGTGACAATGAATTATCAGCCAAGAGAAACAGGCCTTCATATTCTTCATGTATATTACAATGACAAGAAAATCAAAGGTTTGTTTACAATTAAATCCCCACCCACACAAAAAATAAACAAACTAGAAACTGTTTAGGAAATCTTTAAACGAAAGAAAGAAACGGCAGAACTTTTTTGTAGAATCCCTGTGCATTTCGAAAAGACAAATGCCAGGAGTGAAAAAAAGAGCAATATTTTGCACCACTATTTATGCACAGTTATTAAATCATTTAATAGCACTGACATTCTAAATATTGATTTCATTACTTGATTCAATAATGTTGAATTTCTTCATTCATTTTCTTTACATTTTAGATAATAACTTGCATGTTGCTTTGATAAATATATTAATAAGACGGCTTTGGATTTAAAGTTTTAAAACAGCTATTATTATTTGCAACATAGGTATAGTTAAATGCATACTCACTATCTTGAACTCGAATATGTCTTTTCATAATTCTTATAAAAGGTATATCGCTATTTTAGGCAGTCCATATCAGTTTTATGCCCACCCACAGAACAGTAAATATGTGCACGCTTTTGGACCTGGACTAAGTCATGGTATTATCCACAGACCAGCAGAGTTCACAGTTGTTACAAAGGCTGCTGGTGCAGGTAAAGTCTAATGATTAACTGTCTCTTTCTTTTTTACAAAAAGGGTAGACGGACGTTCTTTGGGTATTGATTAAAGAATATGTCCATGTATATTTAGTAATCATACTTGAAATATTTTTGGTGGTAAGAGCCACCACCAAAAACAACAAACAAGCAGGCAAACAGCAACAACAATTGCAGCAAATTCTAATGGCGATTCTAACATCCATATTCAAACCCCCGGCTTTATATTTTCAGCAGTTAGCAATGGTACCTACTTGCTTGTATTACATGTATTTAGTTTTTATCTTATCACGTCGAATGCAAATAATGAAATTAAAATAAAGGAAGCAAAATATGCACTAAAGAAGAAAATGATATTAATAAAACAACAAAATTCCAAAACATTTTTAACACAGAAATTGTTAAAGGAAACAATGGGAATATATTCAAAAAAAATAATCGCATATTGGTTATTCACAAAATTGAAATGTCTGCCATGCCTCTGAAATAGCATTATATGCTGAAAAGCAGACAAACTCGAATAATAATTACAAGTCAAACAAAATGGAAGAAAAACTTTACACTCCATCCGAATGATAAATAAAGTTTAAAACGCACAATTTAGTAGCTTGTATTCTGTGCGAAGGAAACGTAATGTAACTAATAAGTGAAGGAAACAGCTTTGTAGAATAGAATTTCCGCCCATACTATAGCTATAATACTGAATCAGTATTAATTGATCTAGGCGGGTGTGTATTGCTGATAGAATTTCCACTAATGTCTCTTTATTCTGTATCATTACTGTTGTATAGTGGATTAAAGTCTCAAAACTTGAACTTATACATTTTAATACTACATAGTGTACAACGCCTAGTCTAGTCAAAAACCAAATTCTATACCCCATCTATCACACCGTATTACCGGCGGCAGTGATGGCAGATCACTGCAGTGATGGCAGATATCTGAAAATTACCGATCGATACAGGTAGGTTATAAATTTGGTTGGTTTAATTATATTACACAAATACGGCCCATTTCATTGCTATAAAACTATTGTCCATTGAATGGAGATACTGTAAGGTAATTTTGGACTCGTTTTTTTCCTGTTTTCAGACTATTTTGAGCAGGTTAAAAGTGAAAGCCTTGGAAAAATCCGTGAAAATGTTGTTTTCTGTTCAAAATATCTCAAGGTTTAAGTAAATGGCAGGATTTCCTGTTATCAATATAGACGTTCATCCATTGGGGTCACGCAAGCCAAATATCTACCCCGTGAGTCTTTTCTTGAAAGTTTTACAGACGCTCAATCTTGTCCGGTGAAGAAAAAATGCTGCCGTTGAAGGCAGATACATATTATAAATGCTGCCGTCGATGGCAGAAATACCATGAAAGTGGCTAACATTCTGACAGAAAATCAAGGTCAATCTTTTATCAATTCCTCTTTTCTTTGCGTCCTTTTAGTCAGAATTGAGACGTTAAACTATCATTTCTAATATTTTCTCAAGATAGAAAAGTTATTAACCCATTACCCCATGAGCATCTTGTGAAAAATGGCTGTTTTCATTGAAAGGTCTCCCGTTACAAGTTCAAGTTGCTATAAAACTATAAAAACTGCTTCAATACTAATCAAACTTGGCACAAATGTTGACTGGACCATTGCCTTTGTAACAACATGTTCAGTCTGAAATTTCCTGTTACCATAGCAACTAGGGGACATCTCAAAATTGCCAAAAATCACTATTTTGCGTTGATTTTTTCCATCAAAATTGATTTCAAAGTGCTGCCACTTCTCAATGGATAGAGATAGAGTCAAAGGCTTTTCATTTTTAGGCCACCCACAAGTCCAAAGTTTCCTTGGCGATGAGGGGGACTCAGCCCCCCCCTTCAAACCCCCGAAAAAAAGGGGGCACATCCCCCTTCTGGCAACCCCCTGATGTATCTTTTGGATGGGGGGGGCGCCTAAAAAGTGGTCAATTTTTTAAACAACATTTATCAAACAAAAACAAGTGTTTGGGGGCCTAAATAAGGCATTTTTTCACCATTTGAGAAAGCAAAAAAGGAGGGGGGGGGGTGAAAAAGGCGTAGAAAGGCGTATATATCTGGTAATGGATTAACAGAAAATGATGAAAATACCTGAAATTACCCAAAAACGCGTTTTTTTTTCATGTTAAAACATAGCCTCACATATAATTTTGAAGAAAAAATGCTGTTTTGTAGATTTTTTTGATTTTTTTCATTAATGCGGTATGTGCATCGAAAAAAAGCTTATTAGCAACATGCAGTTACAATACAAAAAGTGATGATTTAATACCACAAAATTTCGCTATAAATAGAGAAATGAACATGAAAAACTTCATTTTTCTATATTCATGCATGTGTGCTTGATCTGTTGTGTCTGTCAGTTACATGCATACAATACTATATGTATCTTAAGATTAGCAGCGCACTCCCTTTTAAAGACATAACGCCAATTGCATATTACAGCAAGTAACTTCTGTAAGTGGATATTCATTTGCTAGCATATGACATTATTTTCTCGAGGTAATAATGTTCATCGCTTTATGACAAATAAAGGCTGAAATTTACTTAATCGGCGCAGATTATAAATTATTAAATTGATGTAATAAAGGGGAGACTATTAACCTCGCAACTGGCATCAGTGTATCATTAAACAAAGTATGTTAATGTAAAATGGAAAGATAATATTATTGACAGTTCAAATATTTTCCTATATTATCAAGTTCTTGAAAAACACGACAACGTGGATTCATTTCTTTAAATTTTCATGTTTGTAATAGCGTTGTAGTTTGCCTTTGAATTACATTTACTATGCTAAACTATTAACAACAGTTCTAACATCACGTGCTCCCATTTAACTATATATTTTTTCATTCATTTTAGTTGTAACCATGACAACTTAAAAAGATGAACCTTTCGATGATTCATATCACAAGATGAAAATAAATCCTGTATTTATAGGAAAAAAACTAGAATTTTTTGATTTGTTATATTCTTTTTCTCTTTTTTGACCTTTCAATTCATATGAACAGATCAAGCACACATGCATGAATATACATGTAGAAAAATGAAGTTTTTTTTTTATGTTCATTTCTCTATTTATAGTGAAATTTTGTCGTACTAAATCATCACTTTTTGTATTGTAACTGCATGTTGCTAAAAAGCTTTTTTCGATGCAAACACCGCATTAATAACTTTTCTATCTTGAGAAAATATTAGAAATGATAGTTTAACGTCTCAATTCCGACTAAAAGGACGCAAAGAAAAGAGGAATTGATAAAAGATTGAACTTGATTTTCTGTCAGAATGTTAGCCACTTTCGTGGTATTTCTGCCATCGACGGCAGCATTTATAATATGTATCTGCCTACAACGGCAGCATTTTTTCTTCGACCGGACAAGACTGAGCGTCTGTAAAACTTTCAAGAAAAGACTCACGGGGTAGATATTTGGCTTGCGTGACCCCAATGGATGAACGTCTATATTGATAACAGGAAATCCTGCCATTTACTTAAAACTTGAGATATTTTGAACAGAAAACAGACATTTTCACGGATTTTTCCAAGGCTTTCACTTTTAACCTGCTCAAAATAGTCTTAAAACAGGAAAAAACGAGTCCAAAATTACCTTACAGTATCTCCATTCAATGGACAATAGTTTTATAGCAATGATATGGGTCGTATTTGTGTAATATAATTAAACCAACCAAATTTATAACCTACCTGTACCGATCGGTAATTTTCAGATATCTGCCATCACTGCAGTGATCTGCCATCACTGCCGCCGGTAATACGGTGTGTCTATTAGGTTTGTAGACCACTATATATCATGGCAACTAGCCACATAAAATGTCAACAGATTGTGTTACAACAGAAGTTATAATGAGTAACTATTTATCATATCCGGCATTTGACCAGTACAATCTAAGACTGTTTCGCATATTGTAATAATACAATATATATAAGACAATAGGTGAGTTATGAAATCAATACGTGTATGGTAAAACAGTGTTCGTCATTCATTTGAATTACATAAAATACGTATGTGTGACTAATTAACCTTAAAATGCAGAATGCAACATTACTACTTGTTGTAGGCGGCGTGTGTATTGCTATAGAAGGTCCTTCAAAGGCGAAGATTGAATGTGTTGATAATGAAGATGGCTCTTGTTCTGTCACATATGTTCCCACTAGACCAGGAGAATATACTATCATGGTAAAGATGGGAGAAAAAAGCATTCCTGGATCACCATTTACTGCTAAAATTTCAGGTGTGTATTTTCAGAAGTTTTGGTGTATTTTTACATATGTTACATGATTATTATCTTTAACGGGGTAACCCAGTTGGGGCCTCAAGAGAAAATCTATATTCGTTGCCGTATGTACGCGAACTACGATATTAATAATATGTTTCAAATGAACTTTAGGTTTAAAGCAAAAATTAAAATATTTAAAACGCACCTATCGCTGTTTAACATTTTGCATTTTGTTTCAAACCTTTGGTAAACTATTGGATTTGTTTCGTCTCACATATCTTAAATATCTATAGGTCTATTCTTTACCGGTCTTATTTTCTACTCAATAGATGTATCAGATATTTTATTGAAATCTCAATCCTCATTTTTGAATTAATATGTTTATTATTATTGTTCTTATTTTTTTTTTACATATAACATTTATTAATCAGAATAAAACTTAGTCATTTATATTGTTCCTTGTTTCTTGGCCTCATGGACGATTGTTCAAATGGGTTATCTCGTTTAAGTTAAATAAAGTCTTTATTATTATAATTATTATTGTCAAAATATAAGTTTTTTCATTGCTATCAATTCCTTTCTAGATGCAAAATACATCTATATTAAAAAAAACTTGCAAGCTAAATACTTGAAATTGTTTCTGTTTTTTTTAATAATTTCTAGATGGACACCCAATTAGAAATGCTGCCGAGATACCGAGTATTTCAGGTGGTAATTTCAGTTTACAGTATGAAGGTATACAGAACATGGATGTTGATGATCTTCATGCAGTTGTAGAAAGTCCATCGGGGAATGACTTCCCATGTGAATTGAGGCTTCTTCCGAACGGACATTTAGGTAAAGTATTTCCATACATTAATATACTAAGCGTATAAGTTACTGAGGGAGCTAATAAGTAAATTTATTATTGTGAAATTATTCACCCACTCACATACACTTCTCACGCACGCACGCATGCACGCACTCGCTCACTCACTCACTCACTATACGCGCCTGTGAACAGAATCTTTTCATACATTAAATTCAGTTACACGAATACTATTGTTAACTACAATTTTGTGCTATTATTATTTAAAAAAAATCAACTTTTGTATTTTTCTTGAAAAATATTTTTGAGAAACCAAATTTTCATTTCTATCTGAAAAATACATATTCAATAATATAATTAAGTGAATGTCTGAAGTTTCTATAAAAACTGATCATAACGCATAGTTCATTTATTTTGTGTGCTTCAAATAATACAGACAATTTACCAGGTTTTCACAATTTGGCACAACAGACGAGGTCATATTTTAAAACATTTGCCACGAAACACTCAAATTCTGCCAGTCTTAATTATAAATGGTAATTACTTTGTCATGTCAGTTTTGCTCAAAATGCACAATTTTCTCCAGAAACGTGGAGCGACCGTTTTAATGCTATTTCTTACATTTACTTCCGACAAATTCACTTATAATCAAAGAAAACTGACAAGCAGTGCTTACAGCAGGTTTCAACGAAATGAATATTTAAATTTATTAAATATTCTATCAGCTTTGATGAATGTTTTAAACAGTTTATTTATTCAGAGGTCTTGGACTTTTGTGTCGTAATTTGTATACTTTTAGATGAGTCTGCGTTTATTATCATCAAATAAATAACAGATGTAATAATAAACATATTAACACTAAAATAACTATGTAGTGATATATTTGTGTCTACAAGACAATCAATTAATATTCTATTCTCGATTTCAAATTCTTTAAATTTCTAGATATATCTTCACATTGCAAATATCTTATTAACCTAACGGGAAATATTTGTTCTTCTATATGATCGTGTGTGGGCTGAAACACATTCATAAACTTAAGATTCTTTCATGCGATGAAGCTACCTCACTAGGAATTGTTTATTGTTCTACACGGGTGCCTGCTCGAGCCTGAAATATTCACAGAAGGGGGTCTGAGATCTTCCTTTCCTAGAAAAGATCGAAAATAGTGAAAAATGAATCCCTACAGAATGTTTGAAACCTGCAAAATTGAAAATGTTGCAGGCTTGGCTTGATTGAACCTGTTCAGAGACGGTACTGGAAAGTGCAAGCAACTGTACATGCACCCTAGCACCGGCTTAAGCAGCATTCCATATTTAAGCCTCTACAGTGTCAGTATCACTTAAAACCAAGCTAATAATAAATAAAAATAATAATTATAATCATAAAAATACAAGAGTCCATTCCGAAGTAATGTAAAATATATACTTGATACTTTCAAAACATGAAATTGTTTTGCAAATTATGCCGCTTTTCATTGGAATGGCACTAACGTGTCACATTTAAGGTTCCATGATTATCCACGTATGAACACATTTGCAGATGTCTCTAAGTTCTATAATTTCACTATTACCATGATTAATTGTTGGAAAATGCCTAAACCGGTGCCAGGGGATGTGGACGGTTACTTTCACTTCCCAGTATCATCCATGAACAGGCTCAATCAATAGAGCCTACAACATTTTCAATATTGTAATTTTGAGCGTATGGATTCCGTTTTTCTCTCTTTTTTTTTGTATTTATGCTTGTATTCTCCTAAATTTAAGATACGTGTTTAAATATATAATTATGATATATAATAGAGCTAATTTATCTTGAATTACGTGTGTTGGAATATAAGTATTAATCATTTATATAAACCCAAACTTGATGGATACACTAACTGCCCTTTTTTTCTTCCATATTTTAGGGCCGATGGTATATTTTACTTGGTTTTGAGGTTTTAAACATGAGTATATTTTTTAGATTAATATGGTTTTTAACCATTAAAATGTAAATGAGTAATTTATGTTTTTCAGGATTTTCTTTTACACCTGAAGAAGTTGGTCAGCATGAAGTAAGTGTCCGTAAATCTGGTAACCACATCCAAAATAGTCCTTTCAAAATCTACATTGAGAAAACTGAACTTGGAAGAGGCCACGCTAATAAGGTTAAAGTTCATGGTGACGGTATTGTAGAAGGAGTTTCTGGAGTACAGAATGAGTTTATTATTGACACTAGAGAAGCAGGTATAGAAGCCGAGTCCATTGATATTGTAAAAGGAAATGTTATAGTTATACTTTGTTGATCAAAAATGTGGTGCCAATTTGATACCAGAATTAGATTTTCTATATTATTAATCCATCACATGTTCAAACGCAATCTTCCCTTTGCAAATTCAGTTAATGACTGTATCAAATCTGAAATATGTGTATCATATTTTGCATGCTTCAAATGATAAAAATTTGAAAACTCTGCAATGAAAAGAGGATACTGAATGAGAGTATGTTAAATACTGAATTTATAAATGGGTTAAATAAAATTGTATTATGACAGTCTCCGGCGAACATACTCAATAAATTTTGTAATGAAGGTACACGAATATAAAAACTGTTATCAGCACAAATAAATATTTTTCATTGACAGGCATATTGTGTAATGTGTCTTAAAGTTACGCACATGACGTCACGAAAAAAATATGCACCGTTTTATACTGAGTTACAATAACATGAGTAGTATATATGATACGATATATCTTAATTCATTATATGATAATTTTTCAAACCATAGGATGAAAAAAAATCCTGCATTTATAAACAAACTTGAATTTATGTTTATTATTTACTTTTCTGACATTACAATTCGGAAGACTTCTCCTTTAATGTTGTGTATTGGCTGAATTTAGAAGAGCTGAATCCGGCAAGACAACACCAGTGAAAAATATAGAAAAAATATTTCTCTGCAGTGAAAAATAAATTTGTATATTGAAAATGCGGAAAATGAAAATATGCAATTTATTTCATAATTTTATTTCAATATTTCATTGATAAGTATACATTGTTTACTCAATACAACTATGTAAACATTCTTATCCAATTTTGAATAGGAGAAATTCGATTTGTTTCATCATATGTTGAAGTAATGAAGCAACATAAACTTGCTTTAAATGCAATTTCTATGTTTACAGTCGTAAACTTTGCAGTTCTTGGCAAATATTTAAAACAAATTTCTGTTAATTGCGTATTTTTGAAATTTTTGGCAGGTGTATTAATGATACAGTTTACATTTTCTGAATTGTTTGAAGAAATAAAATCTTTTTTTTTTTTGACAATTATTGAGAAGTCATAAAAGACATAATACCAGAATGAACTATAAAGAATGTACAAACTTTCATATTGGACCATCTTAACTGATATGTATTATATTAATCAAACCATTGAATTTCCCGCCATAAACCAATGACCGTTCTGCACTGTAGGCGCTTTTACGTAAATAATATAGTAATAATTTTCTTTAAAAAAAACGATAAATGTAATTTTTCAAATTGTTGTTTATATTTTTTTCAAAGTTCAAAAACACCAGGTGTGCGAATGTTGATGAATACATGTATTCGTTATGTTCTGTAATTAGTTTTCAACCAGATTTTTTAAAAGTAATTATATTCTTCTACTTATGATAAAAAGATCAGTACTTCTCCGTGTTTAAGTTATAGGAAGGCCTAAGCGTAGTTATATACTGTATATATGGAACTTTATTGATAACCAAAAAATCTCATTTGATTTTTAGGATGTAGCAAACTTGATTTGACTATGAATGGTCAAGTTTAACACGGAACTTGATAATTAATACATATCATGTACATGCAATTTCAAGGTAAGGAGAACCGACATTGTCTATGGGGCCCATTGCTTAGTGCGGTTCACATAGAAATTGTTGATAATGAACTCGTCCCATATGATTTCCAGGATATGGCCAACTAGGACTTGCTATGGATGGCCCAAGGCGTAGTAAAGTTAACATGGATCTTATAGATAATGAAGATGGCACGTGCAAAGCCGTGTATAAACCAAAAACGCCGGGGAACTATGTCATCATGGTGACATACGGGGGTCAACATATTCCAGGTAAGATTTGACTCTTTTTAATTATAGTTTCACATATCAAAGTATTTTAATAATTGCGTAATTAAGTAGTGTATTTATTATACACTGCACTAGACAAAATTCCGATCATAGTATTTTTGCGTAGAGTTATCAGTAAGTAAATTCTTAATTATTGTGATATGTGTTTACAAGTAAATACATAAAGACGACCCATTTGGACCTATATAAGTCACCTAAGAAGCATTTTTAACATGGTATTAAGTTTATATTTAAGTACCACTTCTCATCATTACGCCTTCAATAAAGTTAAATTTAAGAATATGCATTAAATACATAAATAGATAAATATATAGGAAAGTACCCCAGATTTTGTGCCAATTCGAAATACTTTGAACAACTTGGGTGATATTCTTGATGTTTATTTTACAGAGAAAATATGCAGAGTTCATTATCTCATCAATAAATAAACGTGCCAAACGTTTGTTACATCTTAAAAGTAATCATTGTTCTCAATATTACTTTATCTACAACACTCGCTAAAATGTCTCTAAAATATTATCTAGATCCAATAGTTAAAAAGGAAAGACTAGTAGAAGATGATACTGTATTCATTTCCAACTGCATTCATATTTAAATGTATAGAAATTCTTCTGGGTCTTGGAATATTCCTGTGCACCAATTCTTAATCTTAAGACATGAGCACATTCTCATACACAGAACTCTAATATTTTTGTCTGGATTCATAGTGTGGAACAATGAATGAACGAGCCGGTTACAAATTGCTAAGATTAATAAAGCATTAAGCTCAGTTGTTGTGTTATACTTATTGTATAAATGAAAATTGCATAAATGTGTATTGTAAGGTATTTATAATTCAAATGGTGTATTTATAGGCACAAATTAATATGATTATAAATAAAGTTTGGCAGTAGTGAAGTTCTCATTAAGGTTGCTGTTGTATGTTGTTTAGAATGCCACTGTTGATATGTACGAGTGAATGTGTGTATATTCGTGTATTACAATCCAAAAACAAATCATTATTATATTACTATTGTTACTATAATCATTATTATTATCATCACTTTTATAATAATTATCTGTATAATAAAAATATAAACAACTCTCATCAACATCATCATCATCATCCAAATGATTAATATGATTATTATTGTGGATATCATTATAATACAAAGTCCTGAAACCTTTTGACGTAAAAACAAATAAACTCATAGTCATTTGTTAAAAAGAAAAGATAAAGTAAGTGTGATATAGTCTGTACAATACTTTCTAAAGATGAAATATACGACATATATAACATTTAATATTTCAACAGGAAGTCCCTTTGATATCATTGTTGAAGAACCGGCCGAGCCTATGCCAGAAAGATCGTTCAGAAGTGCGTCGAAACAGGGCCAAGATTGTATGTTAACTTTTCTTTTTTATCATGACTATCACTATTGATTTCATAATCACTTAAAATTTTATGATTACTATTATCTTAAGTGTTATTTTTTATCATTACTATGATGTTGATGATGATGATTATGATTTGGACGACCACTTTATCGATAAATTAAAGTCCTGTTTTTCATTTTGTTTTCAAAGTTATAAGGGGACAAAAAGTCCAAAAATAGAGCATTTTTGAGTGATGCCAGATGACTGCTTTCTGTGTGTCACCAGTGTGGATCGCACCTGTAAGAATTTGAATCAACGATCTCCATATAAGGCCGTATGGTCTAATCCCTTCACCTCCCTTGTTCCACATTTAAGCAACATATATTTTGTGTATATGATATAAAATTAATGATTTCAAAAATCAACTTTGATATAGCATTTATCTAAAATACTACTTTAATATAGCGTCTATCTAAAGAACTACTTTAACATGGAAACATTTACGAGTGATAAAGGTCTCAAATAATTTATGTTTATTTATTACTATTATGTCCACCTTTAAAGCTACCCTAATATTTACATCTTTAAGACTATCCTGTGTATGTCTTTCGTTTCAGTATGGGCGTAGGAACACAAATAACTTAGGTTTAATAATAATTTATAATTGACATTTAGTGAATGAATGACGTTCATACATGTATAAGACTTGCTCTTGTATTGGATTTTTACGCTTACTTATAAATCGCTTGTTTGAGATACATGTCTTTAAGCGTTATATTATACATGTCTTTAAGCGTAATATTAATCGTATATATGAGAGTGTGACATTGCTAGTAATTTAAAGATTTGAAAATTATATTTTATATAATTAAAAGGAAACAAAAATATATAAGCGGACACTAATATATACATTTTATGTAAGCTTATTTCGTTATTATGCTAGTATTTGAAGAAAAAAACGTTTAACGCTTGTTTGGTTAACAATAACAGTCAGAAAATATTACAGTATTATGTGGAATATTTGTTAAAAAATATGTTATATATGTAAAAGCTTAAACTTGCTGCTAAATACATGTAAATAAATTTGTTTTGACAGAATAACATAAACATACGTGTCTGTTTTGATTATATGTGTGTAAACATTATATGTATGTGCAAACAAAATATATCTATACTAACAGTGTGGTTAACTTTAATGCTGTTTTTTAGAAACATGCAAACATTTGTAAGTCAATAACAGTATAGTCATCTAAATTGTATGAAAATTGACTTAAATTTCAATAGATTGCTCCATAAAACACTGTTAAATTTGTGTATAATTACTCTGTAAATGAATTAAAAGAATAGGTATACCGAAAACGAGTTAAGATGTATAAATATTTAAAAACTTCATATTTTTATAAAAGAAAATCTTAAATTCAGCAAAAATTTTTAAATAGGTAATTAAGATATTTTATTTATAATGTACAAACTACACTTATTATTACAAATGCATCTTTAAATATATTATATATTACAAAATGATATACAGGATTTGACACTTTTGTATTGTTTTAGATCCAGGAAAAATATAAATCCACAATTTAGGCATGAAAACGTCACGATACACATTTCTTTTCTTTTTTCTTTTCAGTGTGGTATTAGAAACATAGAAGAGGATTCTTCAGCTTCAAAATATAACAAATTTTACAATAAAACAAATTTAATAACTGCTAATTAATTGAGTGTCATATCATACTATACCAGGACATTTCATGATGTGTGTTTAGAATTCATATGTTTACAACAGATGCAGTTATTTTTAATTCATATTGTCCGGAAGATGATTTTTCGCGATGATTTTTTCGGTGGGAGTTGGAACTAGCATAAATGAAAAATTGTATTCAAAAACGATGAGAAATATTTTTATTTTAAACATGACTCACTATTTATAAAAAAATACAACACAATAGACTAAAGCTACATTTCAAAGCAGACTTGTTTTGACGTGTTTTTTTAATATTTGTTCAAAATCAAACCATATCGCACAATCATTAAGTGACGAAGACTCAAGGGAGATAATCAGGAAATAATTTTGACTGACATAAAGAGATATATATAGTATGAACATTCAACCCCTCATATTGACGTTGATTTTATATTGTAGCAGTGCTGATGACTTTTGTGACATTTTTCCCTATACGTTACTATTGTTAAAAAAATCTTACCCTGTGAGCGGAAGCACTTACCTTATCTTCAACCGGTGTAATAGTATAATTTATACCCTTAAAACCCACGCTTTATTTCAAAATATGTCTATATACAGTGCCATTGCAATAAATTTATTTTAAATGATAGTTTTATGTTTTTGTCATGTGTTTACATTAAATAAGAACAAAAACTTTCACAGAATACACCTGTCAATCTTGATATGCTGCAGATCGTGGTTACCAGATGATAAAAAGTAATCAAGTTTATTCGTGGCTACATACGGTGGCATAAAGGTGACATGTGTGTGTTGAACGAATTGGGATGAGAGACAAACGTGGACTCGTGGTCATGAGATGGCAAGATCAACCCAAAAGCTAAAGATTTACTCGTGGCTATTAAATAAAGATTATAATAGTGATAATAATGAGTATTAGGGCAGATAGCTCAAAAACAAGCTCGGTGGTGCCCTATTCTTTTTGTTTCGTTTGAAACGTTTCTGTTCTGCGTGTTAAATATAATTCTATCTTAGTTATTTATTATGTTTAAGGTGGTTATTGTATATTTTCCTGACTTTAGCCGATGCTAGGGGGCATGAGGGATGTTTCATATTATCCCTTATGTACAGACTCAAATTCAAACCGAGTCACAACAAAAAGGATCACAAGAGGGATCACAGTTTTACCAGATTTTGTTTTATTGTAAGTTGTTTCATTAGATTTATGATATTTGCAAAGAAATAAAATCTCTTATAACAAAATGTGTCATTCAAAAGTGACGAATGCCCCCGAAAAGATTTCTTACGCATTGTCGAAAGGTATTATGAAAAGAAAAGCCAATGAAAGTAAGTAATTGCTTAATATTGTTCTTGTGAAATGAAGTGCTGTTTATAGCAAACTTACCACCTTGGGACATGGGTCTTGGATGCCACACATCATCCTGATGTGGTAGACATTATGCCATGTTATTTCAAAGTCCTTCAATGTATGGCAATATTACAGTTTGGAAACTAATATGTACCTTCAAACTTTTTTTTTATCAGCATAAGTACCTTCAAGTGACTTTGACCTTGGTCCATGAACAGGCTCAATCAAACCTAGCCTGCAACATTTTCAATTTTGCCATGTTGGGCTTTCTTTAGGGATTCTGTTTTTATCTATTTTATGATCACATCCGTGTTATTTGTGCCGTGTGGCGGCTGTAAAAAGTCTCCCTGTACATTTAATCAATGATGTTATATTTTCGATCCTTGAAGATCGTTCAGCACGACATTATTGTTGTGCTTGTGGTATTTTTAGTTTCAACTTTTCGGCATTTCTAGTTGGGTGGTTCCAATATTCCTACTTGATTAATGTTGAATCACCCTTAGGATATGTTGCCTGCTTTTTAAATTTGTCTTTTGACGTCTTATCTGTGATACGCAGGCTTCATAACCTCTGATCCCCTTTCAAAATTCCATTTTATTTAGTTCCGCCCATGGTTTTCTCGTTTATGGCACACGCTTTTTATTACTTGGGGGCCATACGGCGCTATTCATAGAATGGCACGGAAGTGTCACATTGAAGGTTCCATGATAACCGCCGTATGAACACATCTGCGGATGTTTCTTAATTCAAAATTTTACTATTTCATGTTTAAATGTTGAATTCTGCTTAAGCCGGTGCTAGGGGGTGTGGACGGTAACATGCACTTTCCAGTACCGTCCATGAACAGGCTCAATCAAACCGAGCCTGCAACATTTTCAATTTTGCCGTGTTGGGCTATCTTTAGGGATTCTGTATTTATCTAATTTGGAGATAGAAACATGGGCCTTACAACACGTCGTCTTGATGTGGTAGACATTTGTGCCAAGTTATTTTAAAACTCTTCAATGCATGACATAGTTACAGCCTGCACACGAATGTGTATCTTTAAACTCTTCTTGAGAAAATGAGTACCTTCTAATTCTAAGAGCGACCATTGAAGTAGGAACATGGGTCTTGAACACTGCATGTCGTCTCCATGTGGTAGACATATATGCCACGTTATTTAAAAAATCCTTCGTGTAGTTACAGTTCAGACACAAATATGTGAACCTTTAGACTCTACTTGTGAGAATGTGAAACCTTCAAACTGTATGGGTGACTTTGACCTTTGACTAACGGACATGAGTCTTAAATGAAACAGATCACCATGGTGTTTTTTACTTTTGTGCCAAGTAATTTTCCATGCATGACAAAGTTACAGTTTGGACACAAATGTGTACCTTCAGCCTCTTAGTGTGACCTTGACCTTTTAGGTGTTGATATGGGCCTTAGCCTTGACACATTATCTGGATGTGTTTGACACTTGTGCCAAGTTATTGTACATCCTTCAAATCATAAGTGTGACCTTGATCTTGGAGGTAGGGACATTGGTCTTTGACCCGACACGTCGTCTTGATGTAGTAGACATTTATGCCCAGTTATTCTAAAATCCTTTGATGCATGACAAAGTTACAGTCCGGATATGAATTTAATATCTAATTTTGATAGCGTGAACCTTCAAAATTTTAGTGTGACCTTGACCTTTGAAGAAGTGACGTGTTTCTGTGACGAACATGAGCCTTAGCCGCGATACATCGTCTTGATGTGGCCAGGTTATTTTGTAATCCTTCGATGCTTGACAAAGTTAATGTCCGGACACAAATGTATGTACCTCTAATTCGGATAAAGTGAAAATTCAAAATCTTTGTGTGATCTTGACCTTTGCGGTAGGGACGTGATTCTTGGACGCGACCCATTGTCTTGATGCTGTAGACATTTATGCCAAGTTATTCTTAAATCCTTCAATGTATGTCAATGTTAGAGTTTGGAAACTAATATGTACCTTCAAACTCCTCTTATCAGCATAAGTACCTTAAAACTATTAGAGTGACTTTGGCATTGGAGGTAGGAACATGGGTCTTAAACACAACACGTCGTCTTGATGTGGTACACATTTGTTATTTTAAAACTCTTCAATGCATGACAAAGTTACAGTCTGGATCCGAATGTGTATCTTCAAAGTCTTCTTGAGAAAATGAATACCTTCTAACTAAAAGAGTGACCATAGATTTAAGAACATGGGTCTTGAAAACGACATGTCGTCTTCATGTGGTAGACATATATGCCACGTTATTAAAAAATCCTTCCGTGCATAAAAAGTTACAGTCCAGACACAAATGTGTGTACCTTTAAACCCTACTTGAGAATGTGAAACCTTCAAACTGTAAATGTGACCTTAACCTTTGACTAACGGACATGAAATAGATAAATACAGAATCCCTCAAGAAAGCCCAACACGGCAAAATTGAAAAAGTTGCAGGCTCGGTTTGATTGAGCCTGTTCATGGACGGTACTGGAAAGTGCAAGTTACCGTCCACGCCCCCTAGCACCGGCTTAAGCAGAATTCAACATTTAAACGTGAAATAGTAAAATTTTGAATTTAGAAACATCCGCAGATGTGTTCATACGGCGGTTATAATGGAACCTTCAATGTGACACTTCCGTGCCATTCCATGAAAAGCGGCGTATGGTCCCCAAGTAATAAAAAGCGTGTGCCCTAAACGAGAAAACAATGGGCGGAACTAAATAAAATGGAATTTTGAAAGGGGATCAGAGGTTATGAGTCTTAAATGAAACACATCACCATGATGTGTTGACTTTTGTGCCAAGTAAAATCTTTCCATGCATGACAAAGTTACAGTTTGGACACAAATGTGAACCTTCAATCTCTAAGTGTGGCTTTGACCTTTGAAATAGGAACATAGGTCCTTGACCCGACACGTTGTCTTCATGAGGTAGACATGAATGCCATGTTTAAAATCCCTTGATGCATGGCAAAGTTACAGCCCAGACATGAATGTGTGTACCTATTAACTCTTATTGTGATAATGTGTAACTTCAAAATGTTAGTTTAACCTTGATCCGTGATTCTTGTTGTGGTAAACATATGTGCCAAGTTATTTTAAAGACCTCCGATGCATGACAAAGTTACAGTCCGGACACGAATGTGTGTAGCTATATATTAACTCTAATTGTGTTAATGTGAAACTTTAAAATGTTAGTGTGACCTTGACCTTTGAGGTAGGGATTTGGTTCTTAGACGCGACAAATCGACTCTATGTGGTAGATATTTATACTAAGCTATTTCAAAATCCTTCAATGTATGACAAAGTTTCAGTCCGGACACGGATGAAGTGGGGACGTACAAACAGACAGACAGATAGACGGTGTGATTTTAATATGCCTTCCTTGGTCAAGGTGGGGGGGGGGCATAAAAAACGGGTGGTAATTACATTATTACATTCAAATCCTAATCCAATCAAATCTTTTTTGACCGTGTACTCTTACATCGGAAAAGAAGAACATGTATTGCGATATTGTTTCAAATACAAAGCATTTAAAAAAGAAACAAGTTCTTGTTGGGAATCGTTCTGCCTGTTTATTTAATCATGGCGTGTAAAAGTAGGCATTGTTCCGAGTGACCTTTACATAACTGTCCTTATCTCGTTCATAATTTTACTTCCTTGATTATCTGTGACGCGACTGACAGTGCTATTTTAGCGAAATGTTACGTTAATGTTCACGAAAACGACCCTTCATTCACACACAAGTTAACGTTCAAGTAAACATTCCATACACATTTCATCGCTCAGGCAAACCCTACATAACAACCCGTCCGGATAACTCAATCGGTAGAGCGTTGGACTGTGTATCGGACGACCCAAGTTCGATTCCCGAATGACACAGGTCACTTTCGCTGTGATTGATCATGAAATATTTTCATTTGCACTGTACCTCTGCTCTTGTATGTACAGAAGAAGTTTCAGTTCCTTGCCCAAGTAAAGGCAACTTGTACTGGTAAACGGCTCGACAGCCTGCCCAGGAATGATGCGGTGGCTGAACTGTGCACAAGACACAATTTTAAATTCACACAAACATCTCCTAAACAACCCGCAACACATTCGTAATTTTTTAAGCAAACGTTCTGTGTATCAGTTGAACAACATGTTCATGTTCACGAGCTGTAAATATCCCGTACAACCCTTATACAACACACATGGGAAAGTTCACGCGAACAGTAAAACGAGACTTGTAATGAACAATTGCGATTTGATACGGTTGTTTTGGAACTTGGCTAGATGGAGAACAACGGTGATTTTAAATGAACATTTTTGGCTGTAAACATGAAAATGAGGTTAAATAAATTGGATCCAGAAATGTTTGATATTGGTAGATCACAGTGCAAATCGTTAAAGTTCATTGGTCAAAATATAAAATGTGTAAAATCACACATCATCACATAAGTGCAGTAAGGGATTAAGTCCTTCTAAATTTAATAAGAGTTAGCCTTATTGCATTAAGATGATATGTATGATATCATACTGCGTCCTATGTCATAGCTTGAAATGTTTATTAATGATTGTGTGGTGTATTGTACAAAGTAAATTAGACATTTCATGGAGAAGACAGACACAGGGAGCTGTCTGCTGCCCTCAGCGTGGGGTCGCTACATTGCACCATCATGAGCTCACACCTACATAAAATACAATTTCAAGCAATAGAATAATAATTATAACAAGCAAACAGATTTGTCACATTTTCTAAATAAAAGTATTGTATATGCATACAATTTTAAGTATTTTTTAGCTAAGTGCATATAAGGTAATCATGTAGGTTAAATTCAGTTTAGCTGTTTTAAAACCTTAAACGAGAGTTGGTAAACTCAATTCAAACTGAGATGAACAAGCAAATAAAATAGAGAAAAACAGAATCCCTAAAGAAAGTCCAACACAACAAAATTGAAAATAATGCAGGCTCGGTTTGATTGAGCCTGTTCATGGAAGGTTAGAAATCTTTATTGTGAAGGCTACTATTTCTTGAATTCGTATAAATTAATACTTACGATAACAAATGACAAATATTTAAAATTGTCACCTGAACACGTGTTTAATGAATGAAATTTCAGAACAATTAGGTTAATAATCTGAACACATAAGTTAAGTGGAGTAAAGAGGATGTTGAATACCTCTTGGGGAGGCCGAATAATGGGATGTCCGAATCCAAAAGACAAAGACAAATTTTTAAAACATGGAGGGATTCCTTGCTGCGATCATTACTCATGAAAACAAAAGTTTCTTCACCGTAAGAGTAAAATGAGACGCGCCATAACAAAACCAACATTATGGTTTTGCGAGCAGCATGGATCCAGACCAGCCTGCGCATCCGCGCAGTCTGATCAGGATCCATGCTGTTCGCTATCAGTTTCTCTACTTGTTATAGAGTTTGTAAGCGAACAGCATGGATTCTGATAAGACTGCGCGGATGCGCAGGCTGGTCTGGATCCGTGCTGGTCGCAAACCCATTATGTTGGTCTTTTCATGTCGCGGCTCAAATGTAGAACATGCTTATGACGCTCAATTATTCCATGTATTCAAAAAGTAAATGGTAATTTCCTAAATTCATACTCCATCTTCGCTATCTATAACAAAACCTTTTGTCAACATTTTAAACCATGTCCTTAATTGTTCAATACCAACAATGATAACATTAACAAATATCCTTATAATAGTATTGTCTAAGTATTATAATTCATATACATTTGCAGATGGCAAGTAATTTCATCATTTTCATGTTTTTTTACTTGGGGACCATATGCCGCTTTTCATGGAATGGCACTAACGTGTCACATTGAAGGTTCCATGATAACCGCCATATGAACACATCTGCGGATGTTTCAAATTATAAATTTTACCAGTTCATGTTAAATGTTGAATTCAGCTTAAGCCGGTGCTAGGGGGCGTGGACGGTAGTTTGCACTTGACAGTACCCTCCATATACAGTATCTATCAAACCTAGCCTGCAAAATTTTCAATTTTACCGTGTTGGACTTTCTTTGGGGATTCTTATTTCTCTCTATTTTAATGTTGTAATCTGTTTGAGACAGTGCTAGCGGCCATGCTTCAATCAAACCGAGCATGCAACATTTACAATTTTGACGTTTAAGACAGTTTATGAATATGCGGCACAAGCATTCTTTTACTTGGGATCATATACTGCTTTTAAGGGCTTTTTAAGTATTATTTTTCTCTCTATCTCTCTTTTATATTTAAATGTATGTAAATGACCTTACATATTTGGATATAAATTTCCATTTGACCCACAAACCACGTCTAACTTTACACTACACGTGATACTACTTTTGTACTGGCAAAACACACTTCCTAACACGCTGTTCAAAGGCTGAACTGTACTTTTCCAAGCAGAAGTGGCCGTTGCAGGTCCTGGCGTAGTTGATACAACGGCTGGAGTTGGAGCAGTTGATGTTGGGTCCACACAAGGACCATGATTGTAGATTGTTAAGGAGTCATGCTTGTGGGGATCTAGTATTAAGACGCATCGAGCTTTTACAAAAAGACAGCTGCAATATATCAACAGAGTTGAAAATTTATAAGGATAAAATATTCAATGTAACAAAAAAATACAATGTATTGATTTTAAAATATGTTATAGCGTGGCATAATAAGAAAATAATTAATTCGTCAAATCTACATCAATACATCTATGCCATACTAAAACTAGTGTTTCGGAATAAAATATAATCTATAGTACTTTGTTTGTAAATTACAAACAAGCAATCTTATTTTCTTATCCCGCCCATTGTGAGAGTTCCCGTTTGATTTCCCCTTTTCTGTTCGTTGTCGTACCAAAATGTTCGTTGTCGTACTTTCCAGTGGTTCTTTGTGACTGGACATGGGGCTGCACTCCATTAATGTCCCTCTTCCAGGCTGATCTTCTAAACTGTTATACTGGTCACCTTTCATTTTTTTGACCCCAGGTGGTTAACTTATGTATCATAAATTAGGCTAGGCAAGCTAAAATATGATAAACAATACCAACAAGGAAAGGCGGCGTTCAATGAACGCCACCCCACACGACCCAGCAACAAGGGCCAGTGACAAGGAGCCCAGGAGGATAGCAAACAAAACAGAACAGGGCACAAGGTAGGGCACTGATATGGTAATTACTTTAATAATACATAAAAGGAAATTATAATAAACTTTCAAAATGGACGCATGAACAGTATTTTCAATAGTCCAATGGGAAGGGAGTCAACGTGATATAATCAGTACAAAGTTAGTTACGGATACGGTTCTGTGGAAAAAAATCAGGACAAGACAGAATAGCATGTACCAGGTCAGTAATTAACCCTGTACATGTATTTATTATTGTGGCTAGCATTATAAAAGACTGAGTAGAACGAGTACAGAATATGAAAACAACCATCAATAAAACCAGGGTGGCATTCAATAAACAAACAAAACACCAATGGCAGGGGAGTCTAGACATAACACCAAACATAAACAGGAAAGACACAAGTGCAATCATCAAATGACTTACTGATCTGCATATGTAAATCCGTCTGACCCACAAATCTGTTCATCGTCTGGTAACACATGATGTGTACAGTCTATATCTTTGAAAACATGACACACGTGGTCGTCAAAGTTTGCTCCAATGTCGTGAAGGGCCCTTAGGACATCATCACATTCAGGTCCATGACAATCGTGATCGGGGTGGTGGTTGTCATGGGGTGGATGGTCATGATTCGGGCCTCGAACTAGTAAAAGTAGAAAATTATAATTATCTAAAAATAGAATACTTACAGTTTAAAGGGTTTAAACTAGTTTTTGATTACTATACTTTTTACGCAATCTCCTTTATCATGTTAGGAAACACGGACCCTTTACATGAAAAGGTGACTAAAAAGGTGTGTTTTTATTTAGATAAAATGTCTTATAACAAATGAAAATGTCCAAAAATTTGTTTTTAACTTTTCTATGTGATCCCACAATTTTTCGTATATATTTTTTATTTGTCTATTTCACCACAACTACTCTAGATGTGTTTCACTTTACTTCAATTACCTTCCTTTATCGCCAGTTTAAGTGTTATTCCTACTATATCAATCAAAATATATTGTGAAATTCGACAACTATCTATAACTAGACTGTATATCTGACTGTTGACATACACAATATTTACAGAGTATTTGGAACTGTAGGATCAAAGCTGTAGAACAAATTAGCATTGGATTTGAAACATATGTGGATGTTTCTAAATTTACAATTTCACCATCATGATGTGTATGTGTTGAATTCTGCTTAACTCGGTACATGAGGGGGGGGGGGGCACTACCGCCAGTGAACTGGCTAAATGTGAAACCAGGCCTGCAACATTCTGTACCGGTTTTTGCATCTTTGTCAATTTTAAATAAATGTCTCAGGTCACTTTTCGACCGTATCATTATTAGTTACACAAGTTATCGACGAGTCAATACAGCCTGCAGGAGATAATATTACAATAACGCAAATTGTTATTGGCAAGTTCATAAGAAAAACCCAGCGTTTTGACAAAGAAGCGCAGGAAAAACGAGGCACGTTATCATTGGCAACGCTAACACTGCACAATAAAAAAGTAATTAAAGTGCATACACAGTTACTCGTCTATGATGTAGAACACATTGTTATTTATGTGTGCTTCGGTTGTTGATTTAAACATATCTTATTGAGAGAAAAAATTAATTAATTACAAAAATATACATAAATTATAAATAAAGTATCAGGAAACATATACATACATATAAAGACACAATACAAAGGTATAATAAATTTGGAAAAACGGTTGACCTACAAGTTCTCACAACATTATCAATGGGCCTTCCCTTACAAGTTTCGGTTCTTCACGGTATATACGTTATAGTATACAAATTGTTTAAGCCAATCAGAATTTGAGAAATTTATTCACATTATTATCAAATTGCATATAGTTCATGTTTGATCATTAGTGTTCATACACATGTATAATGTATATCATCTGTGTTTGAAATGTATTATACCATTGTCTAACATAATAACTAATGAATATGTGCAACGCCTTTGAAACTAAGTTTGAGTTAAATTATGTGTTTAAGTGAATAAAACAGTTCAGTTTAAACATAACTTAAGATATCGTATGTAAACATCTAGTTTTAATCTTGGTTACGTTATGAATAAATCGAACCGGGAACCAGGAGGCATTGGGTCACCTAAATGTACTAATGTCGGTCGGGTCATTGTAACTGTCCGTGTTTCGAAGCGAGCAAGATGTGCTAATACAGGGTAAAATCACTTCTCACTTAATGACAAAACTACATTGTCTTATAATAGAAAAATATAAGCTTCATACCCCATATGCTTCATTGTCAACGTAAACAGATGCACTACGTCAGCGGTCTTGTCTACTGTATTATGTTAAAGAAGACGATAATTTGAATTGTTGTTGCAATAAATATTTGGCAAAAACAGAGTCATCTTTAAGGATATTGGAATGAATTATCTTTCGTTATGATGTTCTTGACCCAAAACACTTTCATCTTTAGTCTTCTGTGTGTGACCTCGAATATACGTGTTATGGTTGGTAGTTTTGCTTTTGTACAAAATTATATGAACACGGACTCATAAATTATCAGCTACCTCATCTGAGGATTCCTGACGTCAATCGTTATACTATACATGACGATCAAGTTTACATTTTTATGACAACAATTAAAACACATCTGCGGATGTTTCAAAATTCAAAATTGTACCAGTTTATGTTAGATTCTGCTTAAGCCGGTGCTAGAGGGCGTGGACGGTAGTTTGCACTTGACAGTACCGTCCATGAACAGGCTCAATCAAACTGAGCCTGCAACATTTTCAACTTTATCTTTAAAATAAAATATTCAATATGCTTTTAAGCATATCGCAGACAGCTGCCAAAAGGTAACCTGCAAAAACAGCTATATTTTAAAAGAAACCCCAAAAACAAATAAATCACATACCTTGAACTATTATAGCTAAAGCTAGCAAAACAAACGTCAGTGTTTCCATGATGAAGCTCACATAGAAAAACCAACAAAACCAGACAAAATGTTTTATTATAAATAGATGACTTTTATCCTGATCAATCAGTTCAAGTTACGATAAGACTCAGTACAAACAGAACAGACTAAAAATGACCTTACTTTCTCAACGTTTATCAATATTGCACTCGTGTCACGATTAATGATACAATCACAATACAATGAATGTTTAACAAAAGCTCAAAGCGGACATTATGATTTTTTTTCTAAATAATCTCAACAACGAAATAAAAAATCAAGAACAAGTAGATTGAAGAGCAAATTTTCTCTTCGTTTACTCTCTTTTCCCTTTTTATACCTAAATTAGCATCTTTCAGACGCTTTTTATAGCTACTCGTATATGGTCCTTTGTGAATATTTGCGCTGACAATACCGTTTTTGATCGTTAGTCAATCCCTGCATCTGACCTTTTACAATCGTATATCAGTGTCTTTTTTTTGGTAATACGGCAAGCTGAACAATAACCAGTTAAAAGGCATAAAATAAATAAGGATGCAGGCGAAATGAAAGGGACAGGGGAGGAAGGAAGTGAAAGCGTGGGGGCAGGGGAGGAAGGAGGTGAGAGCGTGGGGGCAGGGGAGGAAGGAGGTGAAAGATAGGGGCAAAAGATAGGGGAAAAGGATGATGCGTACCGCGCAAACAAAAAGAAAGGACACAAACAGTGTCACTGTTAAAGTTCAGAACTGTTCACTATTTAGGGAGGATAATGCGTAAGCGGCCGGATAGCTCAGTCGGTAGAGCCGCGGTACGGTATTCCGAGGGTGCCGGGTTCGAGTCCCGGTAAAGCTGCACATTCTTCTCACCCTGTGACATTTGGCGCTCAACGGGGGACTGTGATGGTATAAGCTCCAAGTCCAATTTCACGTTGTTCTCTGTACTTATTAGAAATTCGAGGACGAATTACAATATATCGGCGGAGTATGCCACGGTTCAGAACTGTTCACTATTAGCTATTCCGAAAAATATATGATCAAAAGAAATATTTATGATTTTTATTTGTTGCTAAAATCATTATAGCTCACTGCCTTCAAAATGTCATATACATGTATTACTTTATAACGGGGTCTCTACACATCACGATTAAATAGAAGAAGAAAATATGAATCACATTAACTGAATAAATTTCATCGGGTCTGGAAAGCGATTAATTGCCCTTTTTTTCAATTCGTCGTACTGCATTGCATTGCTCAAGAACATCAAGAAAAATACGCCCAATGATATAGTCCGGTACCTTTAAAAGACATCTCTCTTCCCTCGGTACCTGTACGTCGTGGAGAGGATCAGGACATTGGCAGAAGACTTGGAGATTGGATGAAATTTGCTTGACTGATTAAGATCCTAGCGTCGTTTTTTTTGTACACAAAGGACCAAACTACCACAAACCAAGCTGCCGGTGTCCTGACTGAAGCCAAGGGGAGTGGCTCTATATAGTTGGCGGGGACGATGAGGAATGGTACTAGGTTTCGTGAGCACCTAGCTAGCCCTTTGTATCAGAGTTAACCTCATTCATTATCATTACTGGTTACTGTACGTTTAGGTGCGTTGAACGTTTTATAATAATCTATTTCCGGCTTAAAATTCATATCTTTGGTTTATACTCTATGGAAATTGCACAAAGGTAAATCATCACCACTTTAAAAAAGTATTGACTGGTGACATGTCCAGGGGGCCGAACGCGACAGCGAAGTCTGCATTTTATGCCTTTCTGGGCTGATGGACCAGTTTAAGCGTTATAAAAAATACTATATTATTTGCATTTGTTTCAAACTCGCACGAATCTATGTCAAGCTAGTATGAAAACAAATTATATAGACCCTCCTCTATGATTTTGTTTTTCTATTAGTTCCTTTAGAATTCTTGTTACAAAGTAATCACAGTTTATAGCTGTGTGCATAGGTATTCTAAATTATTTAATTCAATTTAATTTCTGCATGTTAGTACGACTATCTCTAGGATGACTATTTATGAATGAGGAAGTTTAAATATAAAGTAAGGCATTTTAAAAGTACTGTATGACATTGAGACGAATGTAATGACACTGCTATCATTATATATAGACCGAACTGAAATCATGCGATGAGTTGACAGCTTAACTATTCCAACTTATTCACCTCTAGTAGGAGAAATTCTTACCTGTTTTATGGACATGCTATAGACTTCGTGATTGTTTAACGAACAAGCGATGTCGCACGTTCATCATAAAAAAAGTAAAATGACATCATAGACTGATAAGCGACGTCGTACGTTCATGAGAAGAAAAAAAATACATCTTCAAGCGATATCTAGTCTGTTGAGCCCGGCCTTAGACTTATGTCTTTATGTTAATCAATCTTATAACCACATAAACCAAGGCTTAGACGTGTAATAAAGTCATTTAATAAAAGCGATGTAACACTAGTGAAGTAATACTTTGACATGGCGTCATTTGCGTTACATTCACATGCGTTAAAGTCAAACTCCGCATAACGGTCACGCTACTGTTAGTAACCACTTCCTTCATACAAATCACGTGATCGAAGAAATCGTTGAACAATTGTTTTGTTTGTAATAAACAACTACATTTTTACTTGAGCTCTAGTGTCTTGAGCATATCGATATGATTTAAAAGTCATTTTTGTAATGTAGAATCGAAATTATTAATTGTTTGAATGATTTCTCTTTCGAAAGCGGCCATTGTTTTGGAAATAAACGGTGTGATATTTCAAAATATTTATGTTTCCGAAATATTTTTTTTTTATTTGAGTTCACATCAGTCTTGTGGTGGCAGAGATCTAATCCCGTAAGGGAAGAGCCCTGCGTGGGAGATTGAGTTAAAACGCGCTAATTTAAGCGTTACACTGACTTTTTAACTTTCAACCGTTGTTATTTTAGATGTGTGAATAAACACAGACGCTTGGGGGTCAGGCCCTGCCCCCCCCCGATGCGATACGCCTCTGTAAACACTATATCAAAAATATTTTGATATTTAAACACAAGTTGGACATCTGCTACAACGATTAAACTGGTTTTCAAACATTTTTACATATGTGAAAAAATACCGTATACAATCAAGTCACAATAAAATAAAGATTGCGGCCTCCAAAATGTGCAACTCGTTCAATAAATTTGGTATTATATCTACACTCATTCAATATCATCTATGTGTACAATGAATAAGAAAGAATAAAAGAAACTGAATTTGAACATGTTTTATGTCCGAAATCGAACAAAAAAAAATTGTAAAAATAAAACCTCAAGAAGCACACTTTTATTTATGGATAATGAGATGTGTCAAATAATTCAAGAATTAACACATTTAGGTGTGCGATTTACGTGTTTTTTTGCGGTTGTCAAGGCGTCACGCTACACTTATTCACATCAGATTCCTCACGTAGGGTTGGAACAGTGCACTGTGTCTTTAAAAGTTCACATCTGCAACACAAAATAAAACCAACATTTAAGTCATTGGTCTGTGACAAAGGATTATTGTCACATGACGAAATCATGTAAAACACAGAACTTTTCCAATAAAGAAAGTATTGTTAAGACAACTATAAAGGGAGAACTGTTCACTTTCTTTTAAAGTGATTGTGTCTATGTTGTTTTGAACATTTATTTTGGTAAACAAAAATATGCATAAGGTGTTATAGCACAAAAAGCAGAAATTCTGTCGAGTTTGACAAGATTAACAACAATTAACCGAAAAGTCAAGCTATCCTGTCGTTACTTAATTCAAAAGAAGTGACGAAAAAGTAATTGGAAAGTGTGAAAAGTTTGCAAGTTAGAAAGATGCATGTTATTCTCAGTAATTCAATCTAACTCTCAGGACTTATGCATAATAGGCAATGGATGATTGGTCAGGATGAGTAAGATTTCTATTTCTATAGCTTCTTAATTATCTGTTATATGAGTACCTTATTCAGCGTGCGTGCTAAGAAGGGTTATAACTTGGGAAAAATGGACTCCGTAGTGAGAAGCACAGGACATTCTCTCAACTTTTTTACTTTACCACACTATATATTAAAGGGATACACATGAAATGGTCCATATTATAATAAAGTCATATTAGACATAGTTCACCGCAATTTTCTTGTCTGTATATGTGTGGAATTTCTCAAAAAGTTAGTTTAATTTTAAAAGAATGTTCGATTTTTTTTAAAAACATTGTGCCCACATCATGGAAATGAACAGATACGTCTAGTTTAGATTTTAAAATTGCTCTTTCCTCTATCTATTGAAATTAAACAGAAAATTGAAAGTTTTGACAGTGATCCTTTGCAAAATGTTGATCAAATGGTAACTAATCTTAATGACATTTTGTATACTGCCTGTTACAAAGCAATGAAGAAAAAGTTAAAAGTTAAGAAAACTAGACCGGACCAGTCAAAAAAGAAATGGTTTGATAGTGACCTTTGTATGATGCAGAAGTTCACTGTATTCTAGAAACCCGTATGACAATATTTTAAAAGGATCATTCTATAAGTATAGAAAAAATTATAAACGTTGTTGTAAGCAAAAGATGAATACCTTTAAAAAGGGTATTATTTCTAGATTAGATAGTATGTTAGATAATAATCCATCTGAATATTGGGAATTAGTTAAAGATCTTAAGGAGGAAGGCCTAGCAAATGATCCTGCTAATAAGATATCGGCAGACGGATGGATAAAACATTTTACAAATCTTTTTTGTGTAAAGAAGGAGTTTGAACATATTGACAAGAAATATGCTGATTTTCTACAAATGTTGAAAAAAATGAAAACTTTCAATGAGCTAGATTTTGCAATTTCTGAAAAAGAAATAATTCCAAAGCCATTTCTTCATTGAAAAACATAAAATATGCTGGTCTTGACTCCATTACTAATGAAATAATTAAAGCTAGCTTTTCTTTTGTCAAGTTTTAAAAAAATGTTTAATTGTATACTTTCAAGTGGTGTTTATCCGTCTTCATGGACAGTTGGTTATATTAAAGCAATTCATAAAGGTGGTGATACTAAGGACCCCAACTGCTAAAGGGGTATATCTGTTATGTCATGTCTATCAAAGGTATTTAATTGTATAATGAATAATAGATTAAATTTTTTAATAGATAATGGTATTATTCATGAAGCACAGATTGGGTTTCAACCCAATTCCAGAACATCTGATCACATGTTTGTAGTGCAAACATTGATAGATAAATCTTTCAGCAAGGGAGCTAAATTATATACATGTTTTGTTGATTTTGCAAAGGCAATTGATATTGTAATTCACTCCCTTCTTTTGTATAATGTAATACTGGTATATCTGGACCTTTTTTTCAACGTTGTTAAAAACATGTATTGCTCAAATGTAATGCACATTAAAGTTGGTAATAAGTTAACAGAAACATTCTCTCCCCAGATGGGGGAGCATCAAGGGGACAATCTTAGCCCAAATCTTTTTAAAATGTTTATTAATGACTTGCCAGCTGTATTTGATAGTAGTGATGACCAAGTGTGTCTAAATGATGTAAAAATTAGTTGTTTGTTGTATGTAGATGATTTGTTATTGTTGTCAACTACACCAAAAGGTTTACAGAATTGTTTGATTAAGTTATCAACATTTTGTGAGAATAATGGTCTTATTGTAAATCTTAAAAAGACAAGTATTTTAAACTTTTGTAAAAGTGGAAGGCTTTCTTGTGAGAAATTCTACTTTAAGGGAACTGAAGTTACTCATGTTAAAAGTTATAAATATCTCGGAATTATTTTTGCATCATCTGGTACTTTCAGTTACTGCCAAGAAGATCTTTATAAAAGAGCACTGAAAGCAAGTCTTAAGATTAGTAAGGTTTTTGGTCAGCTACACCAAAATGTTGACACTATCATCCATCTTTTTGATCATACTATTAAACCAATTCTTCTGTATGGTAGTGAGATGTGGGGTATACCAAATATTAGTAGTTCTATTGTTAAAAATACAGATTATGTGTCATTGAAATCCTTTGGAAATATGTCCTGTGATAAGATGCATGGGAAATTTTTAAAATATATTCTGGGTGTACACAACAAAACATCAAATGAGGCAGTATGCAGTGAACTAGGACGGTATCCACTATTTATTCATGTAATATGTAGTTAGGTAAAGTTTTATCAAAGACTGCTAAGTGGAATTGTTAGCAAATTACTATCTTCTGCCTTTATTGAAAGTCAAACATTATTTACGGATAATAAAGTTTGCTGGGTTTCTTGTGTACAACATTGTTTTAAGCATTTAGATATATCTGATGCTGTTTTTATCAATAAGAACTTAGTAAATGTTGTTAAACTCGAATTGGAAAATGTTCCAAACCAACTGGTGTTTGAATATCTCAGGAACTGAAGGGAAACTTAGAACATACTCTTTGTTTAAGCAAAGGTTTTGTAGAGAAGTGTACTTTAGACATATTAAGGACAAATATATAAGAACTTTCTTTACCAAGTTTAGAGTAAGTGCACACATATTGAATATAGAAACAGGCAGATATAAAAAAATCCCAGTAAATCAAAGGTATTGTAACTGTTGCTCTTCCAATCTTGTAGAAGATGAAATGCAATTTTCCATGTGTTGTACAAAATTTGATAGTAATAGAGAACTACTATTTAGACAAATATAAATATCAAATAAGAACTTTTTTATGTTGAATAATAAGCAGAAATTTGTTTGGTTAATGTCCTCGGAAAACACTAGAGTCTTGAATATCTTTTCTAAATACCTACTCGAAATTTATAAGAATGATTTAAAAGAAATCTTATGTTAGGTAGTACTAGTAGTAATAAAAATTTGTCAGACCATTGAATGTATATTATTGTACTTGAATATCGAATGAGTAATTAGTGTTTTTGTGTTGTTTTTTTAAACTGTTTTATTTATTTACTTCTTATTTTAACATTACTATGCCTGTGTTATTTGTTTTTTCCAATAATACGAATTAAGCTTTAGTTACTTTATTGTCTTCATTTCTACCATACAATACACAAATTGTTGGTTGATATATTTTGTTTCATGCCTTATGTTTTATGCTTGTGATTATATATGTCATATAGTATGACCCTTGATTGGTGAAATAAAATTATTCTATTCTATTCTATTCTTGTGCTAATCCAAGAGAGAGTGTTCAGGGAAAATTCTGAGTAACGATACATTTTGTCATATTTGTTTTCAGTTTTCAATTTTACAATAAACGTCACTTGAAAAATCATTTACAACCGTGACCCACTTAAATATTTATAGATAGCCTTTAGTTTTGTTAATTTATAAAAGGAGTGGGGCAGTCTTTTATATTTAAGGCTGTTTTTTTTTCATTTTGCAGAACAGAAGAAAACTAGTATGAACAAATAGCACATATATTTGTAAAAACATCATCCTGAGGAAAATGCGAGGCGTTCAAAATGTTTTCTTTTACTATAGCATGCAGCTTTTTAAAAAAGGTTCCATGAAATTGTTTTGTCTATAAATTTTTACCAAAACTTCCTCAATATGCTTGTAAAAGTTGCTTACTTATTTGGATAGAAATTGTTATCAGAGCCGCAGACGACAGTGAAACCAGAGCCGCAGCTGATCAAGTTCCTATATTGGCAGAAAACTGATCCTAGAACAGCTTGCGTTGACAGCGTTGTAGATTGCGTTTGAGGTGCGGTCGTTGAATTGCCTATGGCAGATGGCCCCGCAGACGAAGAAATCGAACTGCCTGCAACAATGGGCGTTGTAGACGAAACTGTTGACGTTCCCGCGGATGTTGCAGTCGCTATTGGAAGTGTTGATGTTGCTTAATCAAATAACAGGATAGTTGATTATATCAAGCATATGGGATTATGTTCTAAAATATTAAGGCACTGTTATTGAAAACAAGATGGCCAGGATAGCCTTTCTATCGCTTACCTGATTATGATGACTCAATCCAAATTTCCATGTTTGGACTGGAACAATATTACCTGAATTTTCAACAAGTTTTTTCCAAACTTGGGCTGTGTGATTTAGTTTTTGACACGAGGAGGTGACTTATATTCAAACTTGACCTTGAAATCATCATCGCAACATTTCTTACCAATTCCAAGGATGTTTTATCAAAACCGTAATCTCTAGAATGTTAATATTTTTTTCCATATTTGGGCTGGGTGGTCTTTTTTTTACCCCGGGTAACTCAAATTTCAACTTGACCTAGAATTCATCATAACAATCTTTCTGATCAATTTCTAGAAAATTTGGATTGAAACAATAGTCACTAGTCTGTTAAAACGTTTATTCCATATTTTGCTATGTAACCTAGTTTTTGACCAGATGACCCATATTTGAACCTAACCTAGATATCACCGAAACACCTTGCAGACCCATTCCAGGATGTTTGGATCAAAACAGAAGCCTTTAAAGTATTCACAAAGTTTTTTTCATAATTGGGCTGTATGACCTAGTTAATGACCCCAGGTGACCCACATTTAAACTCAATCTAGACGTCATCATCAAAAAAAGACCAATTTCCAGTAAAATTTCCAGTAAAATCGATTCAAAACAGTAGCCTGTAGAGTATTAACAATTTTTTTTCTAAATTAAGGCTGTATGTCCTAGTTTTTTAATCCTAGTGAACAATATTCAAACTCGACATATAAATCGTTGAAACAGCCTTTCTGACCTATTTCCAGTACACTTGAAACTATACAGTAGAGTGTTTCCAATGTTTTTCCATATTTTGACACTTTGACACTTTGACCTTGTTTCCCAAGGTGACCTGTATTCTAATTTGACCTAGAAATCGCCAAAAAAGAACTTTAACACCCATTTCCAGAATATCTGGATCAAAATAAAAGCGTCTAGAGAGTGAACAAGGTTTATCAATATTTGGGCTATGTAACCTAGTTTTTGACTCAAGATAAAACGTTTTCAAAATTGACCTTGAAGTTATCAGAACAACCTTTCTGACCAATTGAAAGGATATTTGAATCAAAACAGTAGCAACTAGAGAGCTAACAGGATTTCTTTTATATTTTAGCTTATGTGACCCATGTACAAACTCATTACAGCAATTACTTAAACAATCATCCAGTCCAAATTTGATGACAATTTTGGCAAAATGTGACCACTAAAGTGTTGACGAACTAAATGTGGACAAACTGCAGACGACGGACATTCATCGATCCTAAAAGCTCATTCTGAGCAAGCTGATTTGAGTCAAAATCATACAGATTTCATTACGACTGAAAAGTTATGAAACTATGTTAAAATGTCGATGTTCTTCAATATAGTTTTTGATTATATTTATAATTAATATTTGCACATTGTGCGAACCCCTCATAAAGATGAAATAGAATGTTTCAAATGTTTCATACATATTAGGTGAACACAAGAACGATCAGTGATCACATGTGTCGCTTGGTGATAACCAATTGAATGTTGCAGCTACTGTGTTGCTGGAGTCATAAAATCATCATTTGCCAAATGCGTTTTTTATTTAAGAGTCATTATTCAGTCAAATCATTCAATCGGAAAACCCGTTTAATGTTCACAAGACTGTACGGAACCGATCAATCCTGTAAAGTTTCATTTTAAATTGCATTAGAAGTATAAGAAAAGCAGCCTTGACACAACTTAGAAATCATTAACGGGTCATAACTCATTGAACCGAGAAATGCCGATATGCACAATTATATTTAGTACTGATTATTCCCATAAATGTTTAGATAGAGTTGCACCAGTAGTTTCTGAGGAGAAGTCAAGGAGAGGGCATGATTATATGTAGCTTGCTATACCAATCATTAACATGCCACCTTTTAAATCAAGGGCCATAACTTTAATATGTTTAATATGCGCAAGAACTTGAGCTATTGATCAATCCTGTAAAGTTTCATTTAAACTGCAATATTGGTATGAGAAGACTTGTCCGGACAAACTTTCAAATAACACAAGAGCCGTTTTGAACCGGGTTATGCTTCCCGATTAGATTTTGGACCGAAAAAGTACACCTCTTGTAGTTTTCGAATTATGCCTTGAAAAAGCTCAAAGTGCAATAATTCCAAAATAAGGCAAGACAGAATTACTGTTCTGTGCATTGCAACTCTACTAAATGATATCTATCTGCCGACTTAGTTTCTTATTGATACCTCTTGTAGTTGCACAGTAATGTGAAACGTTCACAATGTAAAATTGATAAAGGCAATACGTTCAAAAATAGGCAAGGCAGAGTAACGGTATCTACGCATTGAGATCTATCTACCTACAATGTTTTATGTAAATGTCTGTTAGTTTTAGAGTTATACCACGGACAAAGTTGAAAGTGTAAAAATAAGCAAATGGCAATAAATCCAAAAGAAGAGAATGCAGAGTTACGGTTCTTTTGCACTATTCACTGAGATCTATCTACCTACAATTTTTCTTGTTGATATATTTTATGGTTTCAAAGCTATGTTCAAGACAAAGTTCAAAGTGAAAGAACTGAACAAAGGGCAATAATTCAAAAATAGGAATGCAGAGAACCGACATCTACCAGATGAGCTACATATACCTACAAAGTTTCATGTTGATATCTCTTATAGTATTAGAGTAATGTCCCAAACAAAGTGTGAAGTGTAAAAATGATTAAAAAGCAAATACCCCATAATTTGGCAAGGCAGAGCTACGGTTCCTTTGCACTTCTATTAAATAAGATCTATCTATCTACAAATCTAATTGTTGTTACATTTAATGGCTTCAGAGCTTTGTCCCGAACAACGTTCAAAGTGAAAGAAATGAACAAAGGCAATATCGTCAAAATTAGGCAAGGCAGAGTTATGTTTTTTTTTGTACTACTCTTCAATCTAATGAGATCTATCTACCTACCAAGTTTCTTGTTTATATTTCTTTATTGTATTAGAGTTATGCCCCCAACAAAGTTCAAAGTGTAAAAATAAACAAAGTGCAATAACTCCAATATAAGGCTAGACAGAGTTACGATTCTTTTGCACTTCACTTCTATTTAATTAAGTATATCTACCTACGTATTTTCTCGTTGATACCTCTTATGGTTCAGAGCAATGTCCCGGATAAAGTTTAAAGTTAAACAGAGCACTGGACAAGATGTTTCTAAAAGGGGAGATAATAAAAAACAGGTCAAAATGTAATGGATCTTTGGCACTGCACTGCCCTTCAATGGTCTCTACCACTGTGTGCAGTTAAAACAAATTATCTCAAAGGGCTTTATGGTCATACACCGGACAAGATTTTCTAAAAGTGGAGATCATTTAAAAAAAAGGGCAAAACAGAGTAATTGTTCTTGCACTCCGCCATTAATGCCTTCTACCACTGTATGCAGTTTAAACAAATGATGTCCAAGGAATTTCAGGTTATGCTCTCCAGACAAAATTTTTCTTCAAGGGAGATAGTACAAAAAAACATTGCAATATAGAGATATGGTCCTTGAGCACTGCATTCCGCCTCAGTGCCTTTTACCACTGTGTGCAGTTTAAAAAAATTAAGTCCAAGGGTTTTCAAGTTATGCTCCGGACACAAACGGACGGACTGACGGACAAAGCAGCAGATAAGGGCCAAATATTGTGACAAAATCAAGAAACCGGAAAATGCCGACGATATGCACAACTGGATTAAACTGATCATTCATGTAAAGATAAAATTGCACAAGTAGTCTGGACAAGTTGTATGTGATGGATGGACAACAGACAGGCGACGGAAAAGTGATCCATATATGTTGCCACTACTCAGTAGCAGGCGACAAAGACATGATGACTCTCTTACAGTACCTGTGTTAGTGTTTACAATAGGAGTGTTAGTCATCGTTACGAATGGCGTTGTTGGGTGTTTGGTAGACACAACACACGCAGAATGTGAGACAATGCCAAGTGGATTAACCAGAAAATGATGATGATCATAATATTGTTTGTCATGCATTTGAACACATCTAGCATTTGCATATTCACAACTGTGAAATAAAAAAAGTATTTTTAATTGAGTAATCTTTAGCCTTTCGTAATGTACAAACTATAAGATTTATATACAGTTTATATAATATATTATTTTAGCTTGATTATTGAACAAGTGTGTAGATTATTGACCAAGTTTAAAGTCAGCTTCTTTAAATAAACCAGTACTGATGTCATGGTTCATATTTCAACTATGAATTAAAATTTAAAAAAACACGGACAAATCGTGTGTTTACGGCATATAAGATAGCAACAACAGAGTTTAATGTTTGATAACAGTAACTTAAATCTTGTCGCATCAGGTCTTATGACGTCAAATGTAATCAGAGATAAATTTGAAAAAAAAAACACAACCCTGAAGATCATGAGTCCCTCTAAACTTGTCTTCAAGAAATACGTTTATTTAAAGAATCTATAATGATCACAAATTATTTAAGATTGCATTTAATCAGAAAACTTATATTGAAACCTATTGAAATCTAAATTATCAGGTACATATGTCCAGTCGGTTTCAGAAATTTTGTTTTATACTTGAAATTCTGTTTTCATTTAACATTTCGTGTTGCATTTAGAAATACACTCTATCATAAATAGGGAAAAAATATCTGTATCCAAACTCATTGTTATTTTTCTTTTCTATAAAAAGGAAACTCTGGACGAGTGAGTGGATGTAATTCTTAAAAAAAACTGCATTAGAATCCAGCTATGTCATGTATGTATTTCATAATAAAACAACTATTTTATTTAAAGGTCCATTATGCCTCAGAAATGCATTTGTTTTACTTCTAAAAACCTTTTAAATTTTTGTCTACTTTTAGTGTATCCAAAAGGTTACTCATTGACCAATTATCTGAACCATATTTTTCATCTGTTGGAACCAAGTACAGTTATGGTGAATAAATATAATGTATGGACGTCAAAATACAAGTTTGTTTACATTTTGCTACATTTTACAAATTATTTAACATTATCGCTACTTTTTCAGGCAACAAGCATCTTACATTATTTAAAGGTTTGCCCTTTCTTAAGAAGTAAAATTGTATTTATCTCTGAGGTAAAATGTGCCTTTTACCAAAACAGAAATGAATGTAAGGAAGTACACACTGGTTACGGTACGTTTTCCCGTCTGTTGCACAAATCATCTCGTCGTGTATGAGAATATGATGACTGCAGTCCACATCCTTAAAAGCATGACAAAGATGTTCATCAAATGCACTACCGATGTTTTCGATCGCATCCTGAACACATCTGTCTTTGTGACAGTCAGTGTGACCCCCACCGCCACCGCCGCCGCCGCCGTTACATGCTAAAACAAGAAATAGTATTACACAAAATTATCTCCTGGTCTTCATTCCTATCAATCTAACCAGTTGCCAGACATTAGCACTAGCCCTCACCACAAAGTATAAATTTTCGTAACAAGACATAAAAGGCCTAGTAAGAGGGAGCGGTGACCAAGTGGTTAAGATATTTGACATTTGTCCCTCAACCAAGGGATCATGGGTTCGAGTCCTACTCAGGCCACGACCATGTTTAAACATATGAGCTTAAATAAACATGTTTAATCTTAACAAGATAAGGAGGGCGATGACCGATTGTAGCTTTTGTTTCTATTAGCGTCTTTCTTGTCTAGTCATTGTCATATCCCCCAGTGCCATTGAAAAAATGGTTTTTTAAACAATTTATGGGAAAACATGAAATTAGACATACATTGTATTAGAATTAAGGCCTTCTTATTTGACGAAAAAAGATGCTTTGAGAAAGAAACTATGAATGCTTAAAATTAATTTTAATAAGATAGATGTAGAACAAATATGTTATTAAAACTGTTTAATACAATATTAACATATATTTTAACAAAATGACGTATGAAATATGTCGTGGACAAATTCAATACTTCTACCTTGTGTGTAAGAAAATATATGTTTCGTATGTCACAAGTTGTTAAATTGTTCGGATAAACTTTGCTCTATCAATATATTTCGTGTGATCCATTAGAACTTGAATCACGTGTTGTTCTGATAACCTTTGTTCTAACTGAAGGCTTTAATATTTCCAAATGATCTTTTCTGTAGTTACTGTATATTTTTGTCTAATGTCGTGATATAATAAAGTTTTATTCAACTTGTTCGTAATACTTTCTTTTTTTCTTCTGTATCAGTTCATTATGTCACGAGTTTTAAGAAAACTATGGCAAAAAGTGTTACCATACTGTGATGTTTATCATTAAAATGACACCAGATACTCACTCAGATATAAGTAACATTGACAATTTTAAAAAGATAGATATTTAACAATTATGTCATTTATTATCTTATATAATTTAGTTTAACTTTGTACAAGACCATGTTACTATTGGAAAATTCCATCATGTCATCTTTAAAAAATGATGTCATAACTCTGGCCTGCTTTTGGGCCATTCGGAAATGAAATGAAATTATATGTTTATTTTAGAATATAAACGGGAACCTACCTGATATCATTAATATGTGGAGTAAAATACACGAAATATCCATGCTCATGTTTAACATGAAAGATTGTCTGACCAAGATTTGTATATATCACGACCTTTTCTCTGGTATAAAGATAATAAAAGATTGCCCTACTTTCAATGAAGTTAATGTAGTTAAACTTTCATGGTCACATGTACGTAACAATAATTTGTCAGTATATAAAAGCCCTGATGACTGTATTTTTGGCGTTAGATCATTGGATTTTTGTTAATAACTTGGTTTGTTAGCTCGTTATTTCGTTAGTTAATTCGTTCGTTACAATCGGCTAACCTCGGTGTAAATAGGGTTTGAAAATAGTTCTGTACCACGTGTTTAAGATGTAAACAGAAACAAGCAGTGTAATCTTCAATCATGCGAAATGACTGTATATATTTGACATTCAAACGAAAATAAAGTCTGTTTCGGTACAACCATTTTTGATTAATATATGCACACTGATGTACAATTTTAAACAAATCCGACTTAACGTCATTAGGTTGGCATTTTGTACTTTCGGTAAAATAAATATATCAATAATGTATTGTTTGCTTCTGTATGGATGAATTCACTTATTTTATATGGACTTTTACTTGAGATATGGGAAAAAGACTTGTCAACAACTCCCAGCATTAAATTATATTACTACATGTATTTGTTTACATGTTTAGTTTCTTAGCGTAGTTTAGACCGAAATACCGTATCCGTTCTGTGTATTCATACTTTTGTGTTGAAGACTGACGGAAAGGCCCGAAAAGTTGCGATTGCGTTCGTTAGTGACTTGACGTTAGCTAGTTAGTCATTAAATTCGTTGGTTAGTGAGTGAGTGAGTTAGTTGGTTGGTTAGTTGGTAAGTTCGTTCGTTGATTGGTTTGTAAATTTGTAAGTTGGTTAGCTCTTTCGTTCGTTCGTTCGTTAGATAATTCGTACATTCGTTCGTTTGTTTGTTCGTTGGTTGGTTTGGTTGGTTGGTTGGTGAGTGAGTGAGTGAGTGAGTGAGTGAGTGAGTGAGTGAGTGAGTGAGTGAGTGAGTGAGTGAGTGAGTGAGTGAGCGAGCGAGTGAGTGGGTAGTAATGAGTGAGTGAGTGAGTGAGTGAGTGAGTGAGTGAGTGAGTTGGTGAGTGAGTGAGTGAGTGAGTGAGTGAGTGAGTGAGTGAGTGAGTGAGTGAGTGAGTGAGTGAGTGAGTGAGTGAGTGAGTGAGTGAGTGAGTGAGTGAGTGACGAAGTGCAGAGTGAGTGAGTTGGACAGTTAGCACGCTCGATAGTTTGCCAGTAAGTAAGAGAGTTAGTTAGCTCGCTAATTAGATTGTTAGTTAGATTGTAAGATTATATTTTTCCTAGTCAACTTTATTGACAAAATGTATTACAGCTTCATTTCAACCAAGCGAAACTATATCTTGTCTAGCCACAAACACTTGTGTCCGATGCTTTCCTTAATAAAGGATTATCACACTGCCATTTTAGAAGTTCACATCTGTAAAAAATTAATATTGAGAATATGAGTTTAAATAAGAGAAATAAAACAAGAAATCCCCACATTCACGTCAACGTTAATAACTAAATATGGAAAGGCTGAATTAAATTCAAACTCGTGCTTATACCTCTAATCTAATCATGTATCTTAAATTTAGTTCATGAATACTTGACATAAACATAGTATGTATAATAAGAAAGCAAGAACAAGTCGATATAATATGTAAAGTTTAGTTTAGATATTTATATTTTGTTACCATTTATAATTACTGATTACGGATTCAAAAAAAAAGCTTTATAAGCTTCCTACTCAATCAGTAAATTTTATTTTATTTTATGTACTTTATTATGTAAATGTGTGGATTATAAATAAAATATTGTTTAAAATAAAGATATACTGTACTCATCTTTCCGTAAAATACTTTTACTGCTGAAATATATTGAAATCTATGATATTCTTATCGAATTGATCTAATTTGAATAATAATAATAATGCATTAATTTTTAATAACCCTATTATTGGTCCAGTCAATTAGTCAAAATTCCAAGAGAAATATTAACTGTTTTGTGTATCCTACTGAATTTGATAAATGAATTTCTTAATGACAACCATTTGAGCCGCGTCACGACAAAACCAACATAGTGCGTTTGCGATTAGCATAGATCCAGACCAGCCTGCGCATTCGTGCAGTCTGATCAGGATCCATGCTGTTCGCTATCAGTTTCTCTACTTGTAATAGGGTTGGTAAGCGAACAGCATGGATCCTGATCAGACTGCGCGGATGCGCCGGCTGGTCTGGATCCATGCTGGTCACAAACCCATTATGTTGGTTTTCTCGTGACGCGGCTCATTTGTATTTTTAAATGGCGATATCTGCCTAAGAGGCTGCTAGGGGCGTTGATCACTGCCATCAATGAAAGTTCGGTCATGTTATGTTGGCCAACATCTAGGATTTCTGTTTGTTTACTACAAGAATCAGTCCGAGTGCTTTTCAGTTAATCAATATCCCATTAATTGCATATATTCATTTACTTAATTTTTTCAATTTGTGGGTTTTCAAATCAAAATTTATTTCTTACAAAAATAATTAAACTAGGCACTAATGTTGATCACACCCCTAAAAAGCATTTTTAATGGAGTAAATTTTGTATCACGTAATATTGTATGAAGAGATTATACTTTATATTATCAATAAGGCCGGGGAAAAAAGGCCGAAATAACACTTTTTCCTCTTTAACATGATTCTGCTTAAAATAAAAATACAAAAATACAAAAACAAACAAATACTAAAACATTGTTAAACTTTCTTTTTTTACATCAATGTTTTTTCGATGTCGTTTTTGTCATATCGAAAGCTTTTGTTTTGATGCATATTTCATTCTTTTGATTGGAGTAGCATTGAACGAAAAAAATAACCCCAAATGATCTTGAAAATTATAACTTTGGACATTTTTCTACTTAGAGATGACACAAACATATTAAAGGGACTTGATATTTAGTGAATTTTCTTATACATTTTGACAAAAGGAAAAAAGCCACCGACAATGTAAGAATACTTCTTTAATCAACAGACGGCTGAAAAAAAATGTTAAGAATATAGGATAAAAAGCATTTGAGCCGCATCAAGACAAAACCAACATAGTAGGTTTGCGACCAGAATGGATCAAGACCAGTCTGCGCCTCCGCGCAGTCTGATCAGGATCCATGCTGTTCGCTATCAGTTTCTCTACTTGTAATAGGGTTCGAGAGCGAACAGCATGGATCCTAATCAGACTGCGCGGAAGCGCAGGCTGGTCTGGATCCATGCAGGTCGCAAACGCATTACGTTGATTTTGTCATGACGCGGCTCATTTATGTTTACTCGTTTGGATAGTATTTTCCATCGGACCCGCACACGATAGAGAAATCTTGACCACAGTTGATTGACCACACGTTCTTACAAAAGATAGATTTGAGAACATTATCCACTGATACTGTGCTAACATCTGGTCCTAAATAAAAACATAGAATATAAATGTTGATTTGGACAACTTTTAAAGATCCAGACAACTTTTAAAGATCCTGTATTTTTTGTGAATGATATTGTTACTGTGTGTATACCACACTTGCAAAAAATATATATGTATATAATTATGCAAATAAAACAATTTTCAAACATTGAAGAATAAGTAAAATGTGTACTGCAACTATTTGTGCACATTATATTTAATCATAAATTACATGAATTCATTTCTTATTGGAATATTTGACCTAGAATTTATTGAAAATAAAGTTCTAATTATCTCCCTATAATGGCCTTTATTTACATGAAATGTTAAATTGGGTAATATCTTTATAAAAAATGCTTATTGGAACTTAAAATATTGACAAATCTTAATTTGAGCATCATATTTATGAAATAAAACCATGAAAAAATTGTGTTACAGGATCTATAAACATTAGAAAGTAGCCCCATTTTTATTTTTAGCTATCTTCTACAAGCATAAGTATAAATAACTATTCTCTTATTATCTCAAAGTAATAGAATTTAGTAGCGTTGCTTTGTGTAAGTCTATATAACAATAATATGAGGCTATTATAGATTGCTGAGTATCATTATGAATTCAATTTGATGAGTACACAACTGTTAAACCTATATTGGACAGCGCACTTCAAATACAATATAGATCATCTGAAAAGAAACTTTGACTTTGAAAATGAAAAAAATGAAACTAAATGGAGTTCAGTATGCATTTGATACGTAGTTTTGTTTTTCGATTTGGGAAATAAAACTAATCTATTTAAATTGATCAGATTAGATCCAATAATAATGGTTGATATTGGAACATTACATGTCTTTGATGTCATTTTATCAGATGTGAAATAATACAATAGCTTGCACATCATAACGTATTATTTTTAACAAAATAATCTTTCTATACTTACCTCTGCCCGTATTTACAGAGAGTGTAGTTGATTTTGTTGACGCTACAGTACTTGTAGAAGAAGTGCGGCATGGACCATGTGATGCAATGGCGAGTGGGTAGTTGTGCTTGTCAAAACTTTGTAAACATGTAGCATTTGCATACTCGCAACTGGTTGAAATAATAATAATAATAACAATAATAATGATAAAGAAATAATATACAAAATACAAAGCCTAAAAAGCTACTACAACATAATCCTCCATTCATTATATACGTATTAAGACAAAAAGTGTTTCCTTATATTCGAAGGATGGATGAATAACTAATTTTGCAAAAGAGGCGAAGCCTTCTATAGTTTTGGTTGGCTATTTAAAATGCTAAATAATACACAGCTAAAATGGGAACCAACGCTAAAAACCACTTATCTACCGGCCTTTTGTATTTTTCTGATCGCAGATCAGGAAATACAATGCTGACAATCAATCTCTGGCACAGCGCTTCACGACAAACCTTACAACAAGTAGTTCTCAAAACAGCTTAAAACTAGCGATGTAAAAGAAAGAAATGTTTTTATTTTGTTACAAGTATCCAACAAATTACAAAGCATTCAAAGTTTAAAAGTAGCGCTTGCTTATAGAATTGTCGATTAATGCACACTCACAAATTACGCGGATGGATATCATTTTAATCAATGAAAATACTATTTTAGCGATGTCGATTACCAAATACTTCAGAGTATTTACACAAATAAATCTGACTGTCGAGTTGTGAATATATTCATGACGGACTGCTTTGGCGAGAAGATTTTCGCTAAATAATTTACATCAGTTCTAAACAACAGGTTTTTCGTGAACAAAATACCTCGAAATTAATAAGGATTACAAACCCTAAATGGAAATTCTAAATTTATAATTATTTGATTTTATTCAGATTTTCTTCGTCTAACTTCCCCGTGGTGCAGGGGTAACGCGCTCCTTTTACAGTGTGAGAGGTATGCGGTGCAAATCCCAGTCGAAGCAACTTTTTTTTTATATTTCTTTTAAGTGTTTTGTAAGGACGTAGACACGATATGCAAGGTACGGAAGCTTGTATGTACCCCCGCAATGAAGACATGAAGTCGTCTTTCTTGACTTGTAGAACACAACAAGTCGTCAAAATTACGACGACAAGTTTATATATACAATGTCATTTTGACAAAATATATGTCATCATGTCGAGATACGGCATCCCGACTTTCATACATAAATATACTTGTCGGCTTGAAGTAACATGTATGTCGACCTCCATGTTACTTCTAGGCGACAAATATATTAATGTATGAAAGTCGGGATGCTGTATCGCGACATGATGACCTATATTTTGTCGAATGACATGGTATATATAATCTTGTCGTCGTAATTTTGACGACTTGTTGTGTTATATAAGTCGAGGGAGACGACTTCATGTCTTCATAGCGGGGGTACATACAAGCTTCCGTAGCAAGGATAAAGTGTGGCTGTCATAAAAAAGTATGGAACGCTGTGACTGTTTTATGTAATCAATGTTTTTGTTATCTTGTGAAACGATGATATTATTTTGTTGTTTGAGTATGTTAACATGTGCAATCTACATCATGTCTTGTCATGCTAACTTGTCAAATTATTATGATGACATGTGCAGACAACATGCTAACTTGTCAAGGTATTGTGATGACTTGTGCAAACAACATGTTAACTTGTCAAAGTATAATGATGACTTGTGCAAATGACATGGTAACTTGTCAAAATGTAATGATGACTTGTGCAAACGACATGTTAACTTGTCGAATTATTGTGATGACATGTGATGACATGTGCAAACAGAATGTTAACTTGTCAAAGTGTCATGATGACTTGTGCAAGCGACATGTTAACTTGTCAAAGAATAATGATGACTTGTGCAAACGACAGGTTTACTTGTCAAATTATCGTGATGACATGTGAAAACAGCATGTTAACATGTCAAAGTATCATGATGACTTCTGCAAACAGCATGTTAACATGTCAAATTACCATAATGACTTGTGCAGATAACATGTGAACTTGTCAAAGAGTCGTGATGACTTGTGCAGATGACATGTTATCTTGTATCATGCTGACATGTCAAAACGTACTGTTAACTTGTCAAAGTATTATGATAACTTGTGCAATTGCCATACTAACATGTCAAAATTCCATGATGACATGTGCAAACAGCATGTTAACTTGTCGAATTATCGTTATAACATGTGCATACAGCATGTTAACTTGTCAAAGTATCATGATGACTTGTGCAAACGACATATTAACTTATCCAAGTATAATGATGACTTGTGCAAATGCCATGCTAACTTTTCAAACTTTCATGATGACATGTGCAAACAGTATGTTAACTTGTCAAATCATCGTGATAACATGGAAACAACATGCTAACTTGTCCAAGTATCATGGTGACTTGTGAAAGCGACATGTTAACTTGTCAAAATTTCGTGATGACATGTGCTAACAGCATGCTAATTTGTCAATGTATCATGATGACTTGTTTAAATGCCATGTTAACTTGTTTTATTATCATGATGACTTGTGCAAAACACATGTTAACTTGTTAAGGTATTATGAGCATGTCATCACGATAATTCGACAAGTTAACATGCTTTTTGCACATGTCATCATGAAATTTTGACAAGTTAACATGTCGTTTGCACAAGTCGTTTGCACAAGTCACATGATACTGACAAGTTAACATGCTGTTTGAACAAGTCAGTATTGTCTTTAGACAAGATATGATGTAAATTGCACTTGTTTATATGCTTAAATGACAAAATAATATCATCATTTCACAAGATAGCAAAAACATTGATAGCATAAGACAGTCACGGCGTTCCATAAAAAAGTAAATGATTTTTTTTATTCAACTCTAGTCATGCAAAATTCTCTATGTATCAAACCCAAACTGTAATAGTAAAAAATCTAAACGCAGTCGCTGCATCTCGGGTGTCCTGCAAGATGAATTATAGTATATAATCAAAGGGCTGCAAACTCTGTTGTATTTTCTGATCTTTGCTATCTAAATCGTACTGTATATATGTATGTATTTCCCTGTGAAAGTTTATTTTTATATACTATAATTCATCGTTTGATACATACGGAAATTGCATTACTAGAGTTGCATCAAAAATTATTTATGTTCATTTTTTATGACAGCCACACTTTATCCTTGCATATAATCGTGGCTACTTCCTTAAAAAAGACACATACGGAATTTTGCATGACTAGAGTTGCATCAAAGGAACTACTTGTTGTTAGGTTTGTCGTGAAATTCTGTGCCAGAGATTGAATGTCAGCATTGTATTTCCTGATCTGCGTTGACCCGAGGGGCCGGAACACGAACAGGGGTTTACATTTTTCGTTTTTTTCGTGTTTTCGCCGGGTGCCCCCCCAGATCAAATTTACGAAAAAAGTGTCAAAAATTTTCTAATTTCGAAAACTTCCCCGGGCCCGCCCCCGGGGTCCAAAGTACGCAAAAAATTTTTCCACTTTTGTTTTTTTCGTTTTTGGTCGGGCGCCCTGGGGGGGAAAGCCAAAGGACGAAAAGGGAAATTTGATTTTTTTAATGTATGTTTGTTTTTTTCCCCTAACCCCCCGGGGAATTTAAAGTAAAATTTCTTTACCCCCCCTTTGAAAAATCCTTACTTTTTTAACCCGTTAAACTGATCTCTGTAATGATTACGCAATTTTATGTTCAGATGATGATAATATTTGATTAACATTATTTTCTTACTTTGCTGACTCATTTTAATGACATTCTCCTAAAATGAAATGGCAATTTTCGTTTTTTTGTTGTTTTTTGTTTTGTTTTTTTAGCAAACAGAGAACCATAACTCAAAAACTACTAGATAGAATAGGATCATTCTTGGTGGTATCGCCCACTAACTATCTAATCATTCCTGCCAAAATATCAGGGAAATTGGATAAACTGTTCCTACGATATGGCTCCAGACTTCAGTAAATACGTTTATAATTAAGAATTAATAATGATAACAATATTTAGAAAAGCATTAAACCAAAAAAAAAAAAAAAAAAAACAATATCAAAACCTAAATTATCAGGTAAATATCTGTAGACGGTTTCAGAAATTTGTTTTATCCTTGTTATTCTGTTTTCGTGTTGCATTTAGAAATACACTCCATTATGCTAAGAATTAGGATAAACGTTGAGTCCGGTTTTCCTTGTGGTTGTTGTACCCTTCTTACTGTGTAATCACAAATAAAACTAGATTGACTCTAGCGGACATGCTTGAATATCAATACAAGAAAAAACAGATGAATAAATATGTAGCCGAAGCTCATTGTTGTGCCAATTTTTTTATTTTCTTATCATATAAAAGAAAATTCTGGACGATGGAGTCTAACTTTTAGTCGAAGTTATACGTGATCAACTGCATTAGAATTTTGTGTTGTTAGATTTCTGCACTTTTTGATTTTTTCCCCATAGTACGGATATTTTACTTTAAAAATAAACACTACAAATTCAAGCGAATTCAACCATCTTTATCAGCTGTTGCTTTCTGGCAATAAGTACAGTTAAAGTGGATTAGTATTTTGTATGGAAGTCCAAATACTAGTTTGTTTACATTTTGCTACCTTTATAACAACTTATTTGAAATTTATCGCTACTTTTTCAGGCAACAAGCATCTTACATTACATTATAAAATTCAGGTTTGCCCTTTTTTAAGAAGTAAAATTGTATTTATCTCTGAGGCATAATGTGACTTTTACCAAAACAGAAATTAATGTAAGCAAGTACACACTGGTTACGGTACGTTTTCCCGTCTGTTGCACAAATCATCCCGTCGTGTATGAGAATATGATGATTGCAGTCCACATTCTTCAAAGCATGGCACAGATGTGAATCTATTTTGCCTCCGACGATGTATTCTATTGCTTCCTGAACACCACAGTCTGAATGAAGACAGTGTGTGACATGGCCACCACCGCTGCCACCACCAGAACATGCTAAAACAATGAATAGTATTACACAAAATTATCTCCTGGTCTTTATACCTATTTATCTAACCAATTGCAGGACATTAGCAGCAGCCCACACCACAAAGTATAAGTTTTCATAACAAGACATAATAGGGAAGGGTTCCCTAGTTAGATGGAGCGGTGATCTATTGAGTAAGGTATATGACGCTCAACTACGGTATCACGGGTTTGAGCCCTACTCGGGTCACGACCATGTTTCAACATTTAAACTTTTATAAACATGTTTAATTAAACCAGATAGGGTTAGGAGGGCGGTGACTGACTGTAGCTTTTGTTTCGTATTAACGTCTAACTAGTCTAGCGCTTGTCATATCTCCCAGTTCCATTAAAGGTCCATTATGCCTCAGAATTGCTTTTATTTTTATTTCTTAAAAGCTTTTTAATTTTGGTGTATTCTTATAGTATCCAAAAGGTTACTTAATGGGCAATTACCCGAACCATCTTTTTCATCTGTTGCTATCTTGGCAATTAGTACAGTTATAGTGGATTAGTATTTGTATGGAAGCTACTTTCTTCAGGTAACAAGCATCTTACATTCTCATAATACCATCATTTAAACATAATTAAATTCATTTTTGACCTTTCTTAAAAAGTGGTATTGTATTTATTTCGGCATAATGTGTCCTTAAATAAATGGTTGATTAAACAGTTTATATGAAACAAGCAGTTATACATATTCGTATTAAGGCATTATTTGACGACAAAAATATGTTTTGAGAATGAAATATTAAATGCTTAAGAAATCAATTTGATAAGATTGTTGTTGATGTAGAACAAATGAGTCGCGTCATGACAAAACCAACATAGTGTGTTTGCGACCAGCATAGATCCAGACCAGCCTGCGCATCGGCACAGTCTGATCAGAATCCATGATGTTCGCTATCAGTTTCTCTACTTGTAATAGAGTTGGTAAGCGAACAGCATGGATCCTGATCAGACTGCGCGGATGCTGGTCTGGATCCATGCTGGTCGCAAACCCATTATGTTGTTTTTGTCGTGACACGGCTCAAATATGTTATTTACGCTGTTTTGTACAATATGGGCATATTTTTAAACAAAATGATATATATTACTTATGTTGCCTTGGACAGAAGAATCAAATTATATAAGTTTTAACTATGCAGTACTTCTTACTTGTGTGTAAGGAAATATATTTTCAAGTGATCCAGAAGTTTTTCGGATATTCTTTGATCTCACTGAAAGCTTCAATGTTTTCAAATGATCTTTCTATAATAACAATATATTTTTTCTAATGTTGGGAAATAATGAATTCAAATTTTTCATGAGGTTTCTTATTTCCTTCTGTACCAGTATCTAATGTCATGATTTTCAAGAAAACTTTAGCAAAAAGTGTTACAATACTGTGATATTGATCATAGAAATGACACCAGTTATTTTTAGATTATATCGTTTGAGTCAGAAGGATTTAAAACTGCAATATGAGACTGTTTATATAAATATATACATGCGCATGCTTAAGAAGTAGTACAACAGTTCTTGTTAGGAGTTTATCTCGAGTATTAAACTTGTAGTCATAGAACACACTTGTGTCCGTATTTCTCATTTGAGTTATACGTTGTCTACTTGTGATATACTCACATACAAAACCACATAATATTGCATGGTGTCAGAAATATTGCTGAATTCTTTTAACATTGGGTCTATAATAATAAAGTTAACGGTAATTTCAACTAATAAAGAAATCACAATGGATCTTAGTGGCATTCCAACATCAGTAATGAACAGACAAAGCTCAAATTTAATTAAACAGTGGCAAAAATTCAAATTAAACGTTCAGCTTATATTTTCTGAACCACTTCAATCTCAATCATAGGACGAAAAAGTTTCATATTTACTGCAAAGGATTGGTGACGAAGGCAGAAAAGTGTACCAAACATGGGACATAAGTGCAGAAGACTCCAAAAAGCTAAACATCTATTATGTAAAGCTCAAAGATCACGTTCAACCAAAACTTAATCCGATATTTGCAAGGTATTAGTTCATGAACGAAACGCAAGGAAGCACACACAACTCACTTGGCGCTTTTGTGGCGAGGCTAAGAAACAAAGCCGCAGATTTTTAATTTACAGACAAAAATGACAATACCCGTGACAGAATTTTATTTGGTTGTACTAGTTCCAAATACGTGAAAATCTAATAAATGAAGGCAAAATTTACATTAGACAAGGCAATACAAATTGCGCAAAATACGAATATTGCCAAAAAAAAAAGATGGCAAACTATGGGGGCAGCCGCGCTCAACCAATTGATGTTGTTAGGCCCAAAGGTAAAATGGACAAAACAATCAGCAAATGGACCAACTAAGAAGGGAAGGATGCAAATACATAGATCACTAAATGTTTATGAGTGTTGTGGCACGCGACATGAACAGCGAACAAACTTTCCTGCAAAGTGGGCTACATGCTACAAGTGTAACAAACTGAATCTTTTTTCAAAACAGTATAAATCCCAGAAAAATGCTATAAATGTCAATCAAATAGGGGCACAATATGAACCTTGAAGAACAGTTGTGCGAATGCAGTTGGATGGATACCAATCAATACGGTAAAATAATAACTTTACATTTCTCAAAGAACTGTTTGGGTTTAAAATCGAAACTTGTTTTGACCTAAAACAAATGCCCAATTTCATTTAAAAAATTGACCACTGGAAGTGCTTGCAAAACATTTCTGGGCCTAAGCAACCCAATTAAAAGAACTAATTTTTAAGTTTTTCCCTTTGAGGGCCCCTGATTTGCAAAATTAAACCTCATGTTAACAGGTGAAGCACTTTCAATTTCCTGAGAACAGTTCATGTTGACCTGGTTTTTTTTGGAAAATCGGTTCCAATGATTGCAAAGTTTTATGTGAATAGATAGAAATGCATCCCCTCTTCTAAGGCTTAAAAAAAAACGTCGTTGAACCTTGGGCTATTCAAGCTTCCACCTTTTCTTTGGAAACAACTCCCTTTCCCAAATGATAAAAATAAAACTTTTCTGACCCAGAAGGAAAACAGTCATAAATGAATACAATGAAACCTATTTTGGTTGTTGGAACATTATGATTCACTGCAGTTTACATTTCAAGGAAAATGCAGTACCGACTATTAACCCCCACGAAGAATACCTGCTGCTATAAGAGCTACGTGTTAAAATCAGAGCTTGACAAAATGATTAAAGACAATGCTTATCACAAAAATCAAGGAGTCTACTGATTGGATTAAATTCCCTCTTGTCGTTATAGAAAACACCCGAAAATGGGGCATAACGAAATATGCCTTGACCTTTAAACATTAAATGAGAGAATAGGTAGACCGCATTTTCCCATGCCTACTTTAGAAGATATTACATCAAAACTTAACGCGGCATCAATGTTCAATATTCTTGATATAAAGCATGCATATTGGGGCTTACAGCTTGACAAACGTCTATCAATGCTTACTACGTTTAACACGCCATTCAGAAAATAAAGATGACTCGACTTCCGTTTGGTATATCTACTACCGGGAAATTATTTATGCAGAAAATAAACGAAATTTTTGAGCGCGCACAAGAAAAAAAGGGGTTTTAAAATTTAAAAACCCGATAAAATGGCATAAAAAGTACAAGAAGTCCCTTTTTTTCGGTATTAATAAGCAAGAGGGTCAAAAAAACCAGTCCAGTTTTTCCCTGCCCCAAATGCACCACTCCATTAGAGTGGGGATAGCGAAGGAGGGAAAATTTGGGCATTGTCTTATACAATAGAGAGAAATAAGAATCCCTAAAGAAAGCCCAACACGGCAAAATTGAAAATGTTGCAGGCTCGGTTTGATTGGGCCTGTTCATGGACGTACTGTAAAGTGCAATTTACCGATCCATGCCTCCTAGCACCGGCTAAGCAAGAATTCAACATTTACACACTAAAATGGTAAATTTAGATTTTGAAACTCCCAGATATGTTTTCTAGTATGGCTTATATTGAACCCCATTGAAAAGCGACATATGGTCCCCAAGTAAAAAAATGCGTGTGCCCTAAAACGAGAACAATGGGATGGAATAAATAAAATGGAATTTTAAATGGGATCTGAGGTTATGAAGCCTGCGCATATCACAGATATGACGTTAAAAGACAAATCTAAAAAGCAGGCCACATATCCTAAGGGGTGATTCAACAGTATTCAAATGCCGGAATACTGAACCCCCAACAAAAAGATGCCGAATAGAAATAACCAAAATCCACAATCACCAACAGTATGCCGTGCTCTGAACGATTTTTAAGGTCGGAAATAAAACATCCCTGATTGAATGTACGGGCGCGACTTTTAACAGCCCCACACGGCACAAACTGTCGTTATAGCTGTTGCACAGGCTAATGAGCATACACGCTATATTCAAAAAGAATGACAAGTCAACATGTATATTTTTTACATAATAAGTTTTTATTTCATAATTGCACTATGGAAACATGACATATTTATGAATATTATGTGCAGGATACATGCGACTGATCTTATGTCAAAATGATTAATATGTTGTTAGCTCTAAAACGTGTGATATTTATATACATTATAAAATGTCCTTAGGACAGGTTGATATTATATATACTATTCTCAAATGTCAGAGAGGAGAGTTCGACTTTGGTATTCCACTCGTTCACATGTGTGTTTGTATTTGTATATTAAAAGTATGTAACATCCGTGAGTTCTTCCTACGTTATACGACAAAACAACGCTGATGTGGCGATAAAATAGAGAGAAATAAGAATCCCTAAAGAAAGCCCAACACGGCAAAATTGAAAATGTTGCAGGCTCGGTTTAAAACGGCAGACTTATTGCGTATGCGTCGAAAAATGTAACCGAAACTGAAAATGGTTATGCTCAAATAGAGAAGGAGTTATAAGTCATACGGTATGGTTGTACTCATTTTTATCAATACAAGTACGGGAGACATGTGACTGTGCATTCAGGTTACAATCGCCGTAATTATCAAA